AGGCCCGGGACACCGCCAAGGGAGCGCCGCCCACCAAGGCCCCAACAGACCTCAATGACTCGGTATAGGGATCACGAGTGGCGACCGAAGAGGTCTGCAAGCTGTCGAACACAAAGAGGATCAAAGAGGTATAGTCTATATTTTTTGTTTTAATCCTTCCTTCCTGACATGCATGAATTCATATGGTTTCTACTATAAAAGACATCTTTAAGCATCAAGTATGTTGGGCAAAAGATCAACAGGTACCAAGGCTGACGCCAAGCTGTGAACTCCTCATCAGGCATAGAAGCCAAGCGCAAACTCTGGAGGTCCTTGAGGAGTTGAACAGCCATACCACATGGTCAATGGATGTCAATATATAGTTCCCTGCATGTTCCTGCAACAGCGGGATTGGTCCACTCACCTGGAAGTGCACCAAGTAATGTCGCATGTTGCAGAGGTGGTTCCAAGGGCAAATAATACAACGAACAACGGCATGTCAATATAATATATGTCAAAGCATACTACCCAGTTGCAACAAGGAAGAATGGCAAACAACCCCAGGGTGTGCAAGATCATAGTTACAAACAATGTGCCAGGAGCTCGAGGACAAGGTGCCCAGATTAGTCTATGAATTCAGGCATCGCACCCATATTTCTTGCAGGAGCACTTCTGTCACTAGATGTGAAGCGCCGTTTTGGAATCATGTGTTTGACACACATCTGTCCTGAAAAGGCAAACTCAGGAGAAACGCATCACATAGATGCAGAGAATAGTGCAAAGCTGGTTAAAGGAATAGAAAGAAGAAAAGGGCCAAGCTTGTGTATAGATGATGTCTTCCAGTTTGAGGCTCAATGATGCTGTTCTCATGTGCTTCTGCAGACGTAGTGTAGGCCAGCAACGAGAACAGCGGCGACTACATGTTGACTCCTACGTGCCGCACAGGAGTACAACAACTACGACCTATGCAAGCTGACTTCTTACTTAACAGATTCCGATGGGATGCTCCTGGCTAAGATTGGGGTAAAGGATGAGAGTAGTATACGATACAGTAGTAGAAGTACAATGGCTTGGGAGCGCACCATCGATGAACACATTGATGGTACGCGTAAATGACAAATCAACAATAAACAAATGCCGAACTGAAGGAAGAGTTGAGGGAGACACCAACATGGATCCACGAAATGGGGATGCAACATGTATGGTTGTCCCTGTGCGCCACTACGCTTGTTGCACCAAACAGCCAACCCAACTCGTGGAAAGGCAGTGTGGGGTGCAGCGAACCACTCGAAACGGCGAGGCTCTTTTTGGGTATTGGTGGAGGTCTTTGTCTGGATCGGAGTCGAGATTTTTCATGTGGATTCATGTGGATTTATCTGGTTTAGAATAGGGAGACACCCTAAAGACCTTTGGGACGAGCAAACACATCCAAAGCAGGCCAACAATATCAAACACCTATTATTTGGGGGGTCTCCCTATTCCAATACACACCCAAAGGTTCTCCTACTTCCGCTCATCATCTGCTCTTGATGCCTGGTCCGGCTGTCCTCCACTTCGTCACTGCGCAGGCGCACCTGGAACCGCCACGGGGATACTGCAAACGGTTCGATGGAGGAGACCTCCAACCATTGGCCTCCCTGGGCCAAGCCAGCTGCTGAAGCAAAAGACCTCAAAATGGAAATAGGTTTCGGTTTTGAGATAGTGCTGGAACTCGTTCTCATGATGGATTATAGACGATCAAAGTATATTAAAGTACAATAGCTGCAACATGCTGCAACTTAAACCAGGGTTATCTTGCGGATTTGCTCAAGTCTAAGAAGGCAATTTCTACAGACTTACACAAGTCGTAAGCTCATGACGCTTTTGCTGATGGTTACCGTTCTCTGCCAGTGGCACCTCATAGGATGGCTCAGTCTTTGAGGTTTTGCTCCTGGCACCTCTGTGGTGTGAGAGTCCGACTGCTAACAGTTCCCCAGCCCTCAGGGCGAATCCTTTCAGGTCGACCCTCTCATCCTTGGCGGAACAAACGTTCAGGCACGGGTTCGGCATCGGGCGCTCCGGGGCACGGACGCCTTTCAGCAGCAGATCGGTGGTGTCCTCGACCTGCGCATGAGATGTACCGCACGGCCATGTACCGCCGTAAAGACGGATGAATTGGATGGAATGCAGCCGATTTGGAGGGTTCCACCACGATCGAGTTGGAACCACCCAACGGTCGAGCCGCCAACCCCCGCTGGGCTGACGCCGGCATCGACAAAGAGTTCGTCTCCAGGTTTCAGCGGAGTGGAGGATCGGAGTTGAACCTAAGCGGAGCTTGCTTCGACTTGACAGGGACACTTCGGTGTCCGGACTGCTCGGACTTGAGAGGTGCGTTGAAACACCCAATGAATCGAGAAAAAGAGCAAATGCCGTGATGTTGCATAAGCATGGCGTAAGCATGCCACGACTCGTCGCTCCGGTAGAAAGACCTAGCACCAAATGCCAGCCATTCGCTGCCAAAAGGACTGCAATTCCGGACCGTGACCGGACCCTGGTGCACATGAACGTCGGAGCTTTGAGCTCAAATCTTTGGAAGGCCGTGAACATGTCAAACGCATGACAGGCAGGCCTGGCCTGCTCTGCGAACACGACATGGAAACAAAAACTACAAGAAGTCATGGAATGTGAAGGGATTAGATAGAGACCAAATATACATCACCAAACAACAACCTTAAACAAAACAAACAAACAAACTGTTGCGCATCCACGTGACTTCAAAGGAACTTGTCTTGCTTTCTGTTGTATTCGCTTGTCCTGACGTGTTGTCCTAATTGGCCCCACAAGCGAAAGCCAGGGAGACCGCTTTTGCAGACCCTTCACGATGTCGACATGAGTCGATGCCAGGCAGCCTGGCACATCATGTGTCGGAGGGTCGACGAATCACAGCACTAGTACTAGTAGCTTCTTGTTGTACTAGTAGCCATGCTCTTGTTCCTAGTAGCGATGCGCTTGTTACTAGTAGTTTCTTGTGCATGTTCCTTTTCTCCACAAGACTAGCACAAGACTAGTGCAAGGTACGAGTATTCCAAACAACTCAAATCCCCATAGATCCCCTGAGTTGAGCTAGTCTTCAATGGCCCACATGAAAAATGCATGACAACATGTGAAGTGGATCCTGGGCGAATCCTCTCGCCTTTCTGATCTCAGGCCCCAACATGATTGGCTCTGCTTGCTCGGCTCCTCAGAATGTGGTGAGGGCCAGGGAGACCCACTTTTGGTCAAAGGGGAACACAACACCAAGAAACTAGCAGTTTTTTTTGTTTAATCACGTTTTAATACATGTTTTACCATGATTCTCCATATCCCTTTCAGGTCCAACTTCACTGCCTTCACTGCGAGCTATTGCATTTACCTGCCTCCTCCCAAAAGTATATTTTTTCAACACCAAACACCGGACCCTCCCGTTTTGATCTCTGTTTGCTCCATTGAGGGAAAGCCAACGTGCCAAGAGGCCGAGGGGCAGCTTGAGGTGCCTGGCGTAGTACTGGGCAAAGGCCACCTCCACCGAAACCCCGGTCGTTTTTTTTGTTTTTTTCATTGGGAGTTTCCATGATCAAAACGTTGAAAGTGGAGTGCTCTAAGGATCTGAGCCAAGTGATGTTTGATGATGTTTGTGGCCTCCAGAATGTGCACTTACCAGTACCAGCAGAAAACAAGTACGCGCGGATGAACATGACATGTACTGGCGCGTTCCGCTTTTCAAGCCAGGGTTATCTCACTGGTTTGTCACACCAAGGACAACATCTCCTTCACCGCACCTTGAGGTCCGAATATTCCACCAGAAGGGGAGCAGCCGCATGAATCCGCGCGAGCCGCCGCAGGAAGTGTTCCGTCATGGTACCGGCTTCGGTTCCGCTCAACCAGCCGAGTTCCTCCAGGTCCCAAAGAACCGAGGAGGGAGGCGGTTCCTGGGTCAATAGAGCTGCGTAGGTCGCCAAGGGTGAATCACCGAGCTGACGATTGGACTTCATCAACATGGCCAGGAAAAGTATCAGCTCTTCAGTCTGTGTGAGCGCAGAGAAGTGTTGCCAAGATGATCTACCCACAGTGGCTGTACCACGCCACAGGGCAACATCGATGGGGATCTCAAAGAGTAACTCACCACTTGGGATGGCTCTTCGTGCCACGCACGTGCTTCCCCGGCTTTGCCCCTCGCTGGGGCCGCTCTCCAGCGCCGAGCTCCACACCCCACCTCGCTGGCGGAGAAAGCGCCTCAAGGTCTTCCACCCGGGAGTGCCCAATGTCTTCCAAGACTTGGCAGGGCCGTGCCCAGAAACTAGCGTGAAGATCTGACCCAAGAGGATGACCGCAACAGCCCTTGGCATAGATCATATTTGATCATGGCACAACGCACCATGACCTCATCTGGTGGCCCCAAAAAGAAAAGGCGACGTGCCCTCGGAAAGCGTGGTTTTTGAAGATGGTGGAGGCCAGGAACAACTCAAGTTCTAGCTGTTCTCTTCTCATGGAAGGAAGTTCGGCTCTGGTGTGTTCGGGACTGGAGCCATCAATGAAGGACATCGCATGCAAGCCTTGAATCTGTGCTGCGGAGCTGGGCTGTACTCACACTGTCAGCTGCAGCAAACATCGTTTTGAAACTCGCGTGCAAGTGGAACTTCTGGACAGGTCTGGATCTAACACCTGTCAAGAGCTACTCACGCAAGTAGCCACCTCAGTCGGCTTCAATCCTGCTGATGTCCAAGCGCTGCTCTGGTTTTCACCGTGTAGTTGCCTTCTTGTGTTGTGTTGCATGTCTGTCCGGGGAGTTCTCCCCAGATCGAAGTTTTAGACATGGGTGCATATTTGTGGGTGTCCTCGACTCTACTGCCTCGTGTTTCTCAATTGTCGGACACTAAATTGTGATTACACTGGGTTGCTGACAATCTGGCTCGTGGTTAAAGATGCGTGTTTTACAAAACATGTCTTCTCTTGGTTGGTGGTGCTGTGCTGATTGCGGTTGCACTCATTCACAAAACGGTCTTCTTGCTGGCAGCTGTGCCAAGACTCTTTAAAAACTGCACCGAAACAGTCCAGCAGCGGCTAAGAGACCAAAAACTTGACACAAGTTCTTTTTGAAGCAAACATGTGAGATTGGTTTGTGTCATCGATATCTGCTTGGCAATCAGAATCAATGAGCCAACAGTGAACTAGAGCACTTGATGCCAACACTCAATCATCGATGATATCAAATGATATCAATTGGCCAATAAAACAAGGGCTCAATGACGAGTCATTATGAGAGCCCCACAGGCGACCACCTGACCGCACCATCAGCCGTCCCCACCTCGCCCGTGATGACAGCATCACTATGACTTGCTCATCCTCAATGGCTGCAGACTGCGTGCTACAGATGTGCAACATAGGAGCAAGGACGCTACTAGGGGCTCCTGGCCTTACTACGAGGAACAAGAACGCTACTAGGAGCAAAGGGCATCGCTACTAGGATCAAGGCCGCTACTAGTGGCATTTTGGTCAAAAAGCAAGGTGACCCAGGAGTTTGGACCCGTGGTGGATTTGGTGTAGACCGTTGGAAGGCCATGTGTGCTTTGTATTTTGAGGCGGTGTTGCGTCCGGATCACTTTCTTATGACAATCATGGCCTAATTAATCTACATCAAACACATCGAAATGGTGTTAAACCTTGAAAACTCTGACCTCAGGCATCTTGTCAGTGGAGAGATCAAGCAACTTCAGTACTTTCAGCATCTTTCAGCACTTCTTGCCCACAGTAATACTTGCATATACTTGCCACAGTTCCTTCGAAACTGGTATTTCTGCACGTATTTAATCACTTGTGCTCTGAGTCCCGAAGTACACTTAGCATGTATGCGAAAGGAAGGTATTATATAATACTTCAACTCAACTCTATGACCAGTGCTCTGATCCCTCACAGCTTCTGAGACCCACGTGCACGCTTGATATGAGACGCACATCAACATCTTCCCCACAAGAAGAGATCGTGCCCATTGCAAGATGAGACGAACCCAATGATCTCGACCACCCCCAACAAACTCCCACGAGACCCTCGAATCAGCATAATTGCAGCATAATCATCAACATGTTCACGCATGTTCGCGCTATCCACATGTGTCAAACAAAACTTTCCCACCTCGCATCCCCCCAAACGGTCCGATTTCTGGGATTACTCATGACGACAGTTAGTAAAAAACAACTCAGAACTGAGTGTCCCCATTATGAGTCCATTTTGTTTGTTTTTGTCGGTGCTCGTCCATCTGTCGACTGTCACCTTGCTCGCCCTGAAGAGGTTGCTTTCGTCAACGTCAGCTTGTTCCCCACGACCCTTGCGACCTCCTTTTTCTTGAGCGACCGCACCAACGCAAAGGCGCGAAGCTCGCAGGCTTTTCGGGAGGATGCCTGGCATCCGAGCGGCAGGATGCCTTCTTCAGGAAGAAACACCAAGAAGTGGACACATTGACAAGTGCGGCAGACACTGCGAATTTTACCAGCCGCAGAATTGAACATCGGACAATTCATGTCGCTCAGTTACGCGATTTCATCATTGTTCCAGTCCAAGGTCTTGAGGTAGTGAACCTGACTCAAATATCATACGGAGTCATACGGGTATTTTGGACAACACGCGAACGGGGCTTCCCGTGTGCAACGAATAAGTGGGTGTTTTCATCTTGTTTTCATGGCTCAGGGCATTGCAATGTCCACCCTGGTCTGGAAATCTTTGATGCCAGCAAAGTTCATCTGTACCCGCCTGAGTCAACATGCACTTTTAGACCGAATCAGTCGAGTTGACCAGCGAATCAGTCGATAGGTTGGTAAATCTGAAGCGCTGAACAGAAAAGCACTGTGGAGAGCACCCTGCCGACATGACTCTCGGGTTCTTCATGTAATTCCTTGGTTGGCGCATTGAAAGGAAACATATTTCATATTATTTCATGTTTGGTGCATGCCTCTTCGTTAAGATTTCACCTGTCAATAACTCGCACGATCTGCAGTCAATCTGCTCCACCTTGCGATCCCCTACCCCACCATCTTGTATTTGAGCTGCCTTTGCCTTTCTGTCCGAATTGCATCGACTCGGGCGAGTGGCATCAAGGCGGCTTCAAGCCACAAGACTTGTTCAACTCGATCAGTTGCCTGCCATTAACTTGATCAGTTGCAGATTGACTCGATCAGGCCAAAGGCTTTCCAGTTCCAAGGAAATGACATTTGGAATCCTTGGATCCACAAGCCCAAAGCCCTTTGAATCCCTTTGATCTGGCTTATTCTTGTTGATCCTTATTTGTTAAACAAACTCTCATGATCATTTCCGAAGCTGAAGCATTATTATTGCAATTGGCTTTCCTTGCAGAATCATGCAACATCTTATCAGAATCTAACTTCGATGGATCCGCACCAGCTTCTGTTGGATCTCCTCAATGCCGCTTGCCCGTCCTGATGAGCAATTTGAGTACTTCACAATAGATTTCGCTACTAGTAGCAAAGGGCTTCTTCCTGGGGACCCAGCCATACACATTGAACATCGTGGGTCCAAGCTGTGTCTGTCCACCCTCGGGTCGATGATGACTCACTAAGGCCATTGGCCAAAAGAAGTCGGACATCTCCAGTGCCGCAATTGGAACACATCGCAACGACCGTTTCATCAATTTCATTCAATTTCTGTGAAGGACGGCAGGACAGCACTGCGTACTAGCTTGATGCTCTCAGCCAATGTCTGAATTGCGTAATGATCCATGCCAAGAATATTTGTGCGAGCCCGGCACCCTGGTCATTCGGTTGTCGGGATAGATGGAGTGACACTGCGAGCAGTACTTCTTGAAGTACCTCACGCAGTGCACATGATGCTTCAAGCTTTCAATTTTCCCAGAACATATCATTGACCGGAGCAATGGAGTAGCAACTGAGTCTGTGACTTTTCTCCCTTCTTGACACTCCCTTCTGGAAGCACAAAGTCATCTGGAACATCATCAAAGGCCTCAATCTGCTCGAGACTTGATGCGAGTTTGGGTATCTCCATGTGTCTCCAATCCTGGGGTCGTGTACGGCAATACTGGCGGCCCCTCCAAACATAGCCCCAGAGAACTCATCGCATTGAATGGGCTTGGAGCCCCAGGACCTGTTTCGAGGCCAAGCCAAGCCACAAAGGCTGCATGTACATGTTTTTAAAGATGTCGTACTGAGCAGTCGACCATATTTGAGAGAAAAAGGGCATGCGATGGATGCGAACCGACCGATTCTCCTAGCCCGACGACTTCTCGCAATCCCTCTAAAGCTCGGGACCTTTGATCCCAAAGACCGGCAAATCACGATGAACAGATTACGACTCAAATTACGAGTTCAACATAGACTTTGAGTGCAAGAATGGCTCGGGGGATGTTCTTGTTGCAGTCCAAGAGAAACCACTTGCATTTTGCATCATTTTGCGCAACATGGATGATCGCAGCAAGGTCTGCAGCACTGCGCAGCTCCTTGACTCCTCGGCAACATGGTGCTTTTAGTGAGTTTGGCATTGGCCTAGAAGGGAGACCTCCATTCTTGAAATCACTCAGACATACTCAGAATTCCTTTCCTTCCTTCCTTCCTTTCTTGTCTTGTTTTTGTTTTTCACCAAATCATTGGTCCACTCTCGCCCCCTCTCCTATCGGCCCTGCAAACGCTCGCTGTGTTTCTCTCCGTCAATCTCTTTAAATACTTATCTCTCTATCCCTCTCAAGACGAAACTGCCTCCTACCAGGTTGACATCAGACGCGTCTCTGGGAAGTCTTGAGCGGCCATCTGCCCAGTGCCCATGACTGACATAGCCCCATGAAGCCAAGCAAAGTTGTGCCTCATCACAATGGTGCAATAGCTTTCAGGAACTTGTAAAAGTGCCAGCAACAATAATGGCCTACTGTATATAGAATACACCTGGACCACTTCCTATATACAAAAATGTATATACGTATATATACATATATAATTAATCCCCATTGGAGTTAAGTGGGTAGGTCGGGGATAGCGATTTATAGTGCTAAAATGCTGGGACCAAACCCCCTCAAACAATGGTCACTTGTTGATTCTATAAAATTGAGAATGATATAGAAAAAAACATCCAGAAACAAGGAGTCAGCTCTATAGAATTGAGGGTCATGAGTCTGTAAACAGCTGTGAACATTGAGGATTTTGCTCTGTAAAATGCTGGTCCTGAGGTACCGCCGAACAGGTGTTTTTCAATAGGAGCAAGAACATAGGTCTCTATAGAATTAAGGTACCGGGTACTGGAGCCAAACATAAAAATGCACCTGTCCAGTGGAAGGCGTTGATTCACCTGTTGGAAGGACCTCAAATTTATAGTGAAAACAAAGGTCGTACTCTCGGAATTGGGCGAGTATTGAACTCGAAAAATGTCAAGAAACATAAATCGCTATAACATTCTATAAAATTGCAGTCCCTGACATGCAAAACAATGCTAACAATTCTCTGTAGAATCAGCATACTTGAGGTACCAAGATCCACTGCACCATCACTACAACACCTCTATAGAATCAAGCTTGTACAAAAACAGCCATTCCCTATAAATAGATCGAGAAAGTTCAAGGTTCGTACTTACAAGCCTCCATGCTGACCAACAAAATCATGTCTAATTGCTTTTTAGAGGTCCCAACCCCGGCGATTTGTAGAGGAAATTCCAATCCCCATTATGTATATATATATATACAATTATATACACAGTATATATATATATAGCAACATGTAATATGATGTAATATGGCAGTTTCAGTCAAGCCATGACAACCCCACTGGAGTCACAGTTTCTCTGTCACCTGTTTCATCGCACTAAGTCGTCGGCCCCCCCAAGGTTCAGCTTTGCAGCACAGGCTTGTAAAAAGGCCACGGAATCGTCAACGATCAGGAGACCCTCCTGATAGAGGCGCATTCAGCTTTGCGCTCGCTTCGACTTACTAGCGATGGCCTCCAACCTAAGAGGGACGGCCTCCTACCTGGAAGCGGTATGTCTACTTGAGTCTACCAGTCTCGGTGCAACATGCCAACACCTTTTGCTAGCCTTGCCCTTCTGAAGCACTGGTCTCTCTTGGTGTACCAATGTCGACATTCTTGTTTGAAGGCGTAAATCAACATCCTGCATAGCCTCACAATCCTCATAACATCAATTCATCCAAAAATTGTCCAAGCGTCACTGCCAAGTCGAGCTCTGGCCAAAGAATCCACTTCTTGGACCTTTTCCTCAATGGTTCCCAGTGCAGGATGCAGCTGCCATCCCTGCTTTCCAGCCCAAGTTCCTTGATGATCTGGCGGATCCGCAAGATTCATGGATCGCCCTGACATTTGCAGACTTTCCACCGCGGATCGTTGATCTCGGCTTGTGATCACGTGGACACTCTCTTCCACGACTCCTTCGGCCACAGAATTATAAACCAGCTCGAGCACCTCCCCGAAGAATTGCGTTTCGGCGCTGATCGCACCAAACGTGTCACTGGCACGGAAGGTTCCTGAGTGCCTCGAATCTGCCATTGCCTCTTGCAACTCCTCAATGGGAGTGCCCCAACGTGAAAGTAAAAGCTCTCGTAGTCCACAGGGATCTGACCAGTTGGATTCAATCTCACCCACCGTTAGTGGCCGTGCTCCAGCTCGTCCTTTAGCCCTGTTGGCTCGACATGCCAGTGCCTCTTCCACACAAAGCCGGGCGAAAAGCACCAGTTCCCACTCAGCTTGACACGCAGGTCGGAGCCGTTGGACTTTATAGAGCAGCCAAGGGGGCGCTGGTGTGAGGCTAGAGGATCTGTGTTCCAACAGCTGTTGCCAGTCATAGTCCACCCAGCTTTGCCGGACGCCGGCCTCATTCAGAGACATGTCTCGCGCTTTCTCCATCACGCCGGGCCACAATGCATAGGCTGCTTTACAAACTCCAATGCTGGCTTCTTCAGCACTGGCACAAATCACACCATCCAAACCAAGCACTAAACATGCTTGGCTGTTGGCCTTGCTGTGAGCACAAGATGAACTTCTTCTGAGTCCTTGCGAGGACCGTCGGCATACCGAAACCAGCGGAAGCACATTAAAGTAAGATTTGTTGAAGCGACAAGCATCTTAGGCCACTAGTACTAGGTGCGAGCCAACCTTTGTAATTGGAGGCAATATCTCTGAAGATTCTGAAGTATTGCCCTCGTGAAAAAGAAGGACAACTACATACAACATTGCCTAAACCACCTGATCCATGTTCAGGAGTCTAAAGCCACCCAGTCGAACGGAGGATCAGGTCCACGACTCCATCAAGCCAAGTGGCGCCGCCTGGAGTCAACGCCGCGGCGTGCTGTTGCCGCGCTGGCAGCGGCCTCAAGACCTGCCACCTCAAAGTTGGCGTGTGATGAGGATGTGGTGTCTATGTGATGCTTCCCTTCACAAGCTATTTGTTCCGTTCGTAGTTTTTTATGGCGGCAAGTTTGCGATGGCCTCCAACCTACTTGCGATGGCCTCCACCTAATAGCGTCCTTGCTACTAGTAGCAGTTCATCAACCACAAGACATCAACCTCTCAAAGACACCAAGACATCACGGCTCAAAGTTTGAGAAATCGGCCAAGACATCAACCATCATCAACCCCACCAAATCTTTCCAACATGATGCCTGCCATGGTCCAAAGCATTTGTGCCATCCAGATTGCACATGCTTCGGGACTGGGACAGCCTCAGCAAGACTCTTGTTTCGGATGAACTGAGATGAACCGAGCACCCTTCTTTATAGGGGATCTTGGCAGGATTCGATAATACACACCTATATAGTTGTCGACATGCCTTTTGCTGTGGTTCAAAAGAGTTACTCGTGCCTGAGAAACACCGAGCTGCGCTCAAATGGACTGACCTTCGCGTGCAAAGTGGTTGAGTCACCGTAGGGCGACTTTGAAGCAGGACATGGCCTCTTTGCATTCCACCAATTGTTGTGGCAGGTAAATGTTTGGCACTAGAACTACCCCTGCGTCAGTCTATCAAACACTGTCACTAATCACCTCATATTCCGGAAGCCTGTATTGGTGTCTCGAATGTCTGGAACTTCTGCTTTGATTGATTCGTACTTGCAGCCAGTTGGAGGTGCAACTGATTGTAACTTGCCAAATCTTTCCATATGTTCTGCGCAAGGTTCTTTTGGTGAACTGGACATGTTTCACCACATTCCTGCACCAAGGACTCAAACCGCCACATGAGGTGGTCAAGGTGACCCCCCCGGAAACGTCCTGGAACTCCCCTGCGCAACATGCCCGTTTGAAACGTGCACGGCAGACCTTGCGCCACCTTTTCGACTTGTTTTGGAGCTTGATGTCTGACAAAAACTTGTTGAACTCTCAGGCGTTGGTTGGGAGCAACTCATTGGATCATGTTCTGAAAGCTGAATCCAACACCCATGGTCCGTGGGTATTCTCCATTTTGAGACTTTCAGGATCATTTTCCAATTGCCAACGAATCTGCTGGCAATTTCGCTGGCCATGCTTTGCATGAACCAGCACATGCATGATATCCCGAATATCTGCCAAGTGAAACCACCGCAATATTAACAAATAGGCATAACTGACGCGCAAACTTGTGCCCTTGAATTTAACAGGTGCAAGTTTTGTGGAAGTGCCCGCGCTTCAGCGGTTTCATGAGCAAAACACCGCCAACAAACGGTTTGATCTGATGTTTGTGTTGGTGAATCGCATAGACGCACCAAACTGCCTGTAGCTTTTGGCTATTACTTATCTTTTTGATATATTCAATGTTCTTCAGCAAGGCATGACAGAACGTGAAGCGGTCTTCTAAAATAATGAAAAACGGGACACTGTCTTGCAGTGGTCCCAGTAATTGAGTTGTCATTTCCTTCACAACTGCTGTGATGGCTCTGCCCCAAATAAAACCTCAAAGAGAAGATGCAAACAAATGGGCAGAAACAGTAGGCAAATGATGCTTTTGCCTGCCTTCAACACCTGGCAAATCACCAAGATTGAAGCTCTCCCGCTGCCTGCATGGACATCAGAAATGGGTATTTGGGGAGCACATGGGAGAAAGGCATCGCACCAATTAGGACCAGTCAAGCAATACCCACTGGTGCGTCTAAAGTAGGGAGATCCGCAAGGACCCCGCACCCATTGGTTGCGGGCGTCTCCCCATTCGAATGCACACCCATAATCCAAGTTCCAACAACCATTTCGGACCCGTTCCTCCAGAAAAAAAACACAAAACAACATCCCTTGACAGTCCTTGCTCACCTTGTCCTGCACACTCAACGTGCTCGCGCTCGTACGTGGTAAGGCTCGACGGATGCGCGCTCGCGCTCGACCGACGGACGCCGCTGGCTTGGCGCCGCTGGCTTTCTCCAAAGGGTTTGGATTCGGATGGAGCCCTGGGCCTCTTTGGAGTAGCAAGAAGCGACTAGGAGCAAAGGGCAGCGCTACTAGGAACAAGAAGCTACTAGGGGCTCCTGGCCGTACTGCGCTACTAGGGAGTCGTTGGACAATAGTGGGGATGGGTCGTGACCCACCTGGAGCCCTGGTCCACTATGGTAGGTCAAAACCTCTCAGGTAGGTCAACCAATGTGTCCTGGTTTTGCCCCGGAGGCAAGTGGTTTCACATGGTTTCACCATCACCAGGAATGATGAACATCATCCAGGTAATGAATCATCTTGATGAAGGGGCTTCATCGTCAGAAACAAACCCTTTGTGTGGAAACCGTTTGAAGCTGCACCCTGAGGCATAGAAGCCACCTGGAACTACAGCTACAAAGACCACGGGCACATCTGACACACGAATGTGTGGATGTATCAGCCTAAATAATGCATATACTCACATACTGTATCTGTATCATACATTCAATTAAACTGTACGTATGTATGGCCCAAGTCCAGCGGGGAAGATCCCGGCTCAAGTGGTCGCAAGGGGGGGATCCAGGGAGCGGTCGGGGGAACAAGATTTGTAAAGAAGAAATAAGACATGATAAATTCCAAGACCAAACCGACAAAGACCAAATACTAGTAGCTTCTTGCTCCTAGTAGCGATGCCAGGAGCCCCTAGTAGCGTCCTTGCTCCTAGTAACCTAGTAGACTCAAACCACCAGGAGTGCAACACTGCTGGTTGAGAAGGTCGGCTGAACAAGATGTGCAAACAACTCAACCAGCAGTGTCTCTCGAACTCCAACGACCCAGACTGCGTTTTCGGGACCGACTGGGACCAGCACACATCACACCCACCAGTACAACTACCTGCTGCAAAAATCAAAGGGCCACCTGTTGCAGCTGAAGAGAAAACTTGTCGCGATGGCTCCCGAACCACGGTCCTTGTTCCGCTCGCTCCACCACAGCTTCCTGCGTGAACCCCAACACTTTCTCTAACAATCAACATGTTGAAACACATCCCCTTGTTCGATATCTTCTTTGCAAATGGATGCACAAGGAGGTCATCTTGGAAAACTCTCAAGAGCACCACCCATGGCATAGCAAGAGCTTTGACGAGTCAGTTTTGCAGAGTCATTTGCTTCTCCTGGCCTTTTGGCAGCTGTTAAAGGGTAGGGATTGAACATGGCGATGGCCTGGTAGACGGCCTAAGAACAACGTGGCCCCCAAAGATTCAGTCAGTAGTTTCAGCTGAAACATATATTTAACAAGTGTTCTAAAAGAACAACTAAGAACTCACAAACAAAAATGTGAACTTTGGTTTCAAATTTAGAATATCTTACAACTAAAATTAGTCTCTTCTAGCCTCTCCAAACCTAAAGATACATATGAATACATATTGCCAACGCTCTTCTCGTGGGCACCCTCGAACGACGGTGAGCTTCTGGCCAGGTCGACAAAGAGGACGAGGGGCGTGAGGATCTCAGGATGAGATAAAACGTCAATCAAACAACAGATTCAAGACACACCCCTAATTGGTATTATATGGTATTTTATATGGTATTATTATCCCTGTATTTAACACCTCTCTATTTTATACCGTCTTTTTTGGCATGGTCTGCCTTTTGTTGGATGTGTCAGTGACCGTTTGAAGGTGTCCATTACTTCACCGCTGGAGCTCTATTTCGGGGTAGAACGATACCATGTGAGACAACGCCCAAGTTGGTTCTTCTAGATGACTTCATCTTAGAGATCTGAGAGTGCCCATAAGCCATTTTCGTTGAAAGGAGGACAAATCAGGAACTGAACTCTGAGGAGAAGGCCATCGGCAAAAAGAACTTTGCCTCATTAAAGATTCCAACAAAGGCACCTGTCAATCGAACAATCGACTTCCAGCGACCGCAGATCAACGCAAGTTGCGATCATGCATATCATATTTAGTAGCTTCTAGCTACTAGTAGTGATGCCCTTGTTACTAGTAGTGATGCCCTTGTTACTAGTAGCGATGCCCTTGTTACTAGTAGCGATACCCTTGTTACTAGTAGCGATGCCCTTGTTACGTACTAGTAGCGATGCATATGTATATCATACTATGACGACCCGTCGCGGGAGTACTTCCTAGAATTCGAGGCACTTTCTTTCAGTGTTTTCGACAGTGCGATCACCACATGTTTGCAACAACTTCTGTGCCTTCGATCTGGGGCTGCATATAGTCTCCAAGTGGAGATTCAGCGAGAACCACCAACCTGGCTCGAGTTCGCAACAGAGTTCAGCGTGGAGGCGTGGAGCATGTGCGCCAGGAACCTGGTGTTGTTTTTAAGCCTTTGAATACATTTTTGCGGGTTCCTGAAGATTTCTTGATTGGGCACAGCCAAACAAAAGAGTGGACATGCTGTCCCACATGTACACAGGTCGATTGCTTGTAGTGCTCCAAATATGTCAGGCAAACGTCACTGCGAGGCTTAGGAAGGAGAACAGCAGTATCTGGCAAATCAAGTCTCCAAAAAGAACTGAAGCATATTATGCATATTTGATCATATTTAATCGCCAGATTTTGCCAATAAGTTCCGACTCTTTCACAAAAGCACACCTCTGCCCTCACACAGAAGCAAAAAGCAGCAGAAATCGACATGTTCCTGAGGCGTGCACCAAAACCGTTTCTTTGCGAAAGGGGCTTTCGGCGACCATCCACAATCTGAAATTCACAAAGACCTGCCGCTTTCACACGCAGTGAATCGAGACAGTTGGATCGTTAGGTCACCGCGAGACTGGTGGTTGGAACACCGTTCTTAACATCGGCTACACAATAGAAAAGGGGGGGTCGCACCACACAAAGGATGAAGGATACGCAGGAGGCATACCAGAACTCATCTTCCTGGCGCAGAGGCATCGTCAGAACTTCGATCCTTCTGGACATCAGCGCCCGCCTCTGTGTCAACTGTGCCGGCGGTGAGGTTGGGCACCAGCCATGCTACTCCACCGTGGTAAAGTGCACTGGCGAGAGTTGTCATAAGAACAGGCGAGATGCATGGAAAAAAGGCGAAGGATGGCAAAGGATTGGTTCCCGTGCAACGTTGCCTGAGCATCCATGCGATAAGAATTGGAGCATTGAAGCGCATCCGCCTGCAACGCTTTCTGCAGCTTGCTGCACACCCATGAACACATCAAAAGCACACTTCAGCAAAGCAGTGGATGAAATTCCATCGCAGCTGCCTGGGACCTTCAACATAAAGATCTGGGCGGGATAGCGCCACCTGTTCAGGTACATACTGAAAACGAAAGATGAATGTCAAACCTTCACCACCAGCCTTATCAGGGATGTCATAGTCCAGGCTCACCACTATGACAACTGGCAACCCACAAATCACACTCGCATACCTTGGACGGAGCTTCATTGAAAGACACTTCTAGCCTACGAGAACTAGGCTGAGGATGCTAAGGTGTTGACGCAGAGTTCAACCATTCAGGATATGCGATCTTCGCATGAAACCTGCAGCTGTCCTGTCTTGACTGCGGTCCTGTCTTGACTGCTTGACTCTGCTTGACTGCGTCCCCATCCACGCACCCGTTCATCCCGACTGTGTCCGACTGTGTCCGACGCGTCTCCGACGCGACGTCTGAGGAGTGGACGTGATCTGGTGTGCGAAGAAGATATCACCGATGGCCAGGACCGTGTGCTTGTAGAACATGTAGCAAATGAAGGTGGCCACACGTCTGTAGGCCCGTCTTCCTGAACGACCCCGGTGGTTTGGCGGTTTGAATCAAGAGATGGATGGTGTTTGTGGCGGGCGGAGCCCGCTAACACTCAGGCGTCCCACCGTGGCAAAAGAGCAATGGGACGAGGAAACGAAACTGGGAGACGGCCACATCACTGGCCTCCAAGAACGACTCAAACAGGTAGCCATATAGATAAAAAGGATCAAAGAATATCAAAGAGGATTATGTTCCGGTCACAGTGGAAGAACTCATGCGCCTGGACTGCTTGGTTTCCTTCTTTCCCACGAATGCCTGTCAAGTTTGAACATTTGCAATATCTGGAAGGCTAGCTTGGTGGTGCATGCCATGAATATCATCGTGTTTGCTCAAGTATTCACTTCGGCCATCTTCGGTACGTGCATTATATATATACTGGAACACCAGCCTATGCCAACATGGGCTCCCTGGATCATGGGCACATCATTCGCGCCATCACCGATTGCCAGGGTGATGCCAGTCCTGACATGGTTCCAAGCCTCAAAAGCCTACCGACACATCCAGTTCAGTTTGGCGACTGCTGAAAATTGAACGCCTTTTTGGTGACTGCTCGACAAGGCTCAGAGAGATGAAAAACACTCAGAATGGCGTTCTTCTGATCCACAAGTTCCTGTGGTAACGATATCTTCTGCTTCAGGCCTTTAGCCGGGTGCGGTTCTAAAAGAGGGCGGCTTTCCTTCCAAAGAGCATCAGCCCATTGCCGGACATGCTGTCGAAGAGTCTCACTTTGGCACTTAATGGGCTCGACTTCCACATCTATTGTCAAATCCACACCACCAATGAAAGCGAAGCGGCTCCGCACAGCGTTGCAGGCTTCAGCTGCTGCATTTCGCTTGGCCAACTTGGCATTAATCTCCTTGTTGGCAGCGTCAACTGCAGCATTGTAAGCCTGCACAGAAGCTTTGCGTTTTTCAACGATATCATTGTACTTCTGTACTTGCGAATTGCAAGCATCAACAGATTTGCTGCTATACTGATCAAGGGTTGTCTTTGCATCTTCCACCCTTTTCATTTGCGCTTCTGCTGCAGCTTGCAAGGAGTTGATGTGGGCCTCCTTTTCTGCACAACCCTTTTTGAGATGCATCTTCATTCTTTCAAGCTCTTGATCAAGCTGCTTGACCCTTTCCTCCTCTTGAAGTCCTTTCTCATGCACCGTGTGCAGCGCTGGCACATGATCAGCGGGAAAGTCGGACGGAATCGTATACCCAGGAATGCACCGATCGATCACTAGCCTGCTTGAGGCAAGCGGGCCTTCTAACAGCCAGTGCACAACGTCCAGCAGCACCGCCATACGCTTGCAATGCTGCAATTCAGGTACGAAGCGAGCAACCGCATCGTAGTTTTGGCTCAAATAGTGCGCCACTCGAGATGCCGATGTATGTGGCAAATCCTTCGCATCTTCGTATTTGCCAGTAGACTTGTTGAACTGCTGTGCGCGCACCTCAACGCCCATTTGCACATTATCAGGATTAATCAAAAGACCATCTCGGCCCCAGGGTTGTCTGATGATCTTGCGGCAAACAATCCACAAACGTGCACAGCCAGCATCACCTTGGGCCACATCTGGGTAGTCATGCGGCACGTCAATTCCACATCTTAGGGGCCTTTGCTGGCCCGTGGCATCATCATAAACCACACCTTGAGCTAGCTGCTTGAGCTTCCAATCTGCACGCCACATCCAATATCCCAAGGGAATCTCCTGCAATGCCTCATTTGAATACCACTTCTGTTGATAAAGGCCGGATGGGCTTGTGCCTTGCGTCCAACTCCAAGGATCAATGGGTTCCAAGCTAAAAGCAATCGGCGGCCTCGGCGGCCTGACCGGCCTGACCGCCAGTGAAGCGTTGGAACCCACCGGCCGTGAAGCGAGGGTTTGCAAAGTGGTCCCCAGCTCAGTAGCAGTGAAGACCATAGCGCTTTGAGATAGGGGCAGCTGAAACAAGAGTCCACTTTCAGAGTCAAAAGAGAGCGTTGATACATCCAAACCACGGAAGGGGTTGGAGCTCTTTGAGCTTACAGTGCTGACAGGTGATCTTCCACTTCTTTCTGGTGGATGAAACTTGGGGAACACCACGTCTTGCCTCAACTTGGGCTTTCCAGCTGTGCTTTGGTCTCTTTCATCTGTTGATGACAGATGCGAAGACAGGGATTCCTTGATTTCACGTTCAATGCGCTTCTTCACCGCTTGAATTTCACTTTGAATGCGTGAGCACTGGATCCAGTGCGAACCCAGCTTCACAGCTCTGGAGGGTCCCGTGCCGAGGCTCGTCGGCCCGGGCTCCGCGCTGCGCCCTGGTGCCGCCTGGGGACGCTGCAAAGGTCTGTACGCCGCCTGTGTGCTTCCCAAGCTTCCTGGCTCCCGCCTCATCTCCAAACAGGGAATCAGGTGCTTGAAAGCTGAACGACTTTGGGTATTTGCTCGGCACTTGTCCTGTTTTTGACTCATTTGTAGGTTTATAAATTGTTTTAGAGAAACCCAATGAAACCCGTCCATCCTCAGTCTTCAACAGTTGAAAAAAAGGGAGGGGCCCATGGAGCAAAATCAATCCATCTATGTCTATGTGCATTTCAACTGTGCCTTGCCAAACAGTTGGTCTAAGAAGCAAACTTCACTGACTGAGCCAACTCGAGCCAAACGTGACCGAGCTATCAGTGGGGACACCCCTAGGTGTCACCAATGGGTTTCAGTCTATGTTTCATCTTCCAGTGGGACCCTTGGATGTCTCCCTGGTCTAATACACATCCAGTACCCAGATAGTCAAAGCAGCTTCTGCACGAGTATTTCATCCATAGACTTTGTCAGCTGTGAACACCATGCCGTTCGATTCCCGTCCTGTTCATGTCCTTCACTAACTCCACCTGGCAAAAAAGCAGCGCGAAGCTGCTGCAATGCCAAGCTTCGCGAAGCTGCAATGCGGAGTAAACCGTTTGACCCACAACTGTGAAGCAAGCTGGTTCATACCGAGTAGATAAGCTTCACCAACAACTTCACTCATGGTTTCAATCAACCGTTTGTCAAACCGTCGCATGGCAAAAGACAAGGCAAAAGACAAGGCAAAATAGGACTTCATCAAGAAACGCTGTAGGTTCTGGGTAGGGTCATTGTGTGGCTTCCAATTGAAGAGTCCCGACCCTCCACCCGCAAAAAGCGAAAACAGGCCAATGTTGACCAGCCGACGCTTCTGCTGTGGAGATAGCCGGCAGCAAACCTAGGTGAGGACTGCAGTGTGCAACTTGAACTGCAACTAGAAGGCAAATCATATCCAAGTCCACGTCTGTCGAGTCGAGTCAAAACACGCTTGAACAAAGTCTGCTCCTTCACCAGCTGGAGCGAACGTTTGTTTGACCGTCAGGGAGAAGTCCGTAAGCTGGGATAGCAGCTTGCCAGGACCATAAAAAATCATAAAAATTGTACTGTAACTACTGTGTGAACCTCCACATCCCTTTATCACAACGCACTTCTGTGAATCTGGCACAAGATTTACTTGCCATGGCGAGCTCGTACCTCCGCAAGAAATACTGTAAAGGTCGCAAGAAATACTGTAAAGGCCGCAAGAAATACATGTGTGTGGAACATTGTTGGACATCTTATGACATGCAACTCAACATTGGGCGTGCAACATTGGCCGACCATCCTTTGAGGTCAAGATCTGCTGGACAAAGGTGCCTGGCAGCATGGAAGTCACACGTTCTCCATGTCACTTTTAGACGCCTGACTGGCTTATCGACCAGTGGCGCATGGTGAAGTGATGGAAGAGCTGAGTCAGCCGCCATCGAGCACAAGTCCTCCATCCGGCTTTCCATCCAAGGTTGTCTTGGCATCCTCGCCCACTGTGGCAAGGTCGAAACATGTCGTCTTACAATGATCATTCAGATTCTGTGAACTGTTTCATTCTTCAACCTTGCTTTTATTGATGGTGCAAGCAAAGTACGCAAACACACCAAGTTCCATCAAGTTCCAAAATTCAGGCATGCATTGGATATTTATGAAGTACAACATAGTACAACAGGGTAAGACCATGCATGGCCGCAAGTCCTCTATGAGCTGCAACGCTTGACTTTCGTTGCTGCAATTCACCTCCCAAAGAGTTGGGGATGCCATGAATCTCTGGAGCTTCTACTGTAATGTCCAGGTCGATTGATTGGGATCCAACTATCAAGAATGACATAAACGACTAAAACTCCTTCAGAATATATAGTTTGGAAAGAAACTGAACTCTCTGCAACATGAAGCTCCTGATATTTGCGGACTCTTTCAATTCTCTTTCTTTCAATGCTCTGACTCTTCCAATACTCTTTCACTTCTCTCAGTGTGGCACCAAGTATGCCAAGGTCATACTATCAGAGAAAAGCTTGCATGCTTTTGCGATTTCGACCTGGGGCCCGACCGACTCGCAACCGGTACCGAGGCACGAGGGAGCCGAGGCCGTCGATCGGGTCCGAGGCAGACTAGGCGGTCGAGGCACTGCTGTTTCGGTCTTGTCGCCTGTAAGAACCCAAAAGCGGATTCCAGCTGCCTGAAGAGCAGGAACGACGGTAACAAAAGTGTTTGTGGTGGAACGGAGAGGATCATGGAGGCTCTCTTGCTTTTTATGATCTGGATCTGATCATATCTGAAGCGACAAGTGAATTGCTAGTGACTAGTGATTCAGGACAGAAGTACAGAATTCCAGTCCTTGATGGAAGTAATTGCCTCAGGCACGCCATCTTGCAGCTTGTCCTGGTGCCATGCATGGGCACTCCCCAAACAAAGCACATATTGCTTTCTTCTGAAAACCAACATGTGCTCGTGGGGTGGACACGCCCTGATTATTCTTGATATCTCCACGCGGGCCTCAATGGCTGTCACACCTGCAGCCTTCAAGGAGTGTTCCACTTCTGAGGCGACTCGCGCCATCTCTGCCTCTCGGTCCTGGAGCCGACAGTCCCTGTCCGGTCCATCCTGTCTCCCAAAAGCCAACAGCTGAAACTAGAGGAAGCTTGGGGTAAGGCTTCAGAAAGCTTTTTGCTGATAGACTGACTATAAAGCAGGTAGAGATGGCATAAAGATGCATGAAGCCCGCACTATATAGTAGCCTCGCTGGAACTAAGTAACTAAGAGCGCCGCATGCTCCAACTCTCCCCACCTCTGACACTGTAGCTTCTTTCCATCTGACCAGCCAGTCTTCCACGAACTCTTGGTCATCCATCTTCTTCGAAGCGATCTGCCAACAACAAGCGCTAGTAGTAGCAAGGGCATCGCTAGTAGCTTCTTGCTACTATAGTAGTAAAGTTTCTGCACTTAAGTTACTAATTGCAAACCATCAGCTCAACGAACCAGCGAACTCTTCGCTGATTGGCGCACCACCAGAGTTCGCAGGCCCAGCTTGGAGTACTGCGTCAGACTTGCCCCGAGTGAACCTCAGGTTTTTTCGACGCATTCAGGTTTTTCGAAAGGCGTTTTAGTGTTTTTGCCGCCTCCTAGTGGTCGATCACAAAGGGGCCTGGAATCATCTGGAATGCACCGTGACGAATCACGTTGAACGAATGCAGCACGACAAAGGTGCACGCCAGGAATTAAGGGCATTCAAAAGGCAACAATTACACACATCACTGAGGTGAGAGCCCCATGATGTTGTCAGCTCCCTTGCACAAGCACCAGTATTCGCCTGGAGAGATTGTTGCTTTGACAATCAGTGTTTGTGCTCTTGAACATGTTGCCGTAATTACAGTGCCGATGACACACCAACCCAGCACCAAATCTGAAGCTCAGGAAAGCAACGAAAGGCCAGGTTGTGACCGAAAGTGCCCGACTTGTTTGGTTATATTTGTTTGATCAGCTTGCATACAAGTCATATGTCCGATTCCTTCGACCTAGATATCTAGGTCAACGAAAGGTCAAAGGGCCCCGTTCGTCGAGCTCATGCAGCTGCTGCGCTTCCTTCCGTTCGTTGCTAAACACATCCCTCAAACACCGTCCAAGTCCTTGCCATCCCTGCAGGGTCCCTGTGCTCTCGGACAGAGCCTTCGTGCTTCACGATGACACTCATGCGCTTGCGATCCGAGGAGAATGGGATCTCACCTCATGCTTTCAGCTTCTGAACAACTCCTCTCAGTTCTTCTCACAATTCCCATAAATCTTTCTCAACAAGCTTCCGAGCTTCCTCAGCTCTTGGCAAAGAATCGTGAACGTGAAATCTTTGGAGCCTGGTCCCTTGAGGACCACCTCCTTAGTTCCATAGATCTGTGACTCTCATGCTGACGAATACTTAAGATAAATACGTAAATATAAATATATAGTTATATATATATACACATATTGTACATATATCATATAAATATAAATATGTTTTTTTTGTGTGTGTGTTGTCTATTGCATAACATGATGTAGATTACAGTCAGTTTTGGTTACACTGTGACACTCATTCACCATCATTGCTCTCCCCCCTTCCTTACCTTGTTGTGTACTACTGGCATCTACTGGCCACACAGGACGGTTCAATTTCTAAGGCCAAGACCGTAGAGCTGGTTCCAGGAATACGAGTTCGAGACACAAAGGTCACGCCTCTCCCAAGAACTGCCAAGAAAAGGGACCGAAAAACATGCTTTGCAATCATCGTCAAACCATACCCCTATCAAAACCATCCATTTCAGGGCGTTTTCCTCAGCCAGGCAGGCCTACATCCTTTGCTGCCTCCACAAAGGCAACCTGGAGAGCGGTGTGAATGATCTGGGATCAACATGGAACTGCTACAGTACTGAAATAGCAATTACAGACTTTGTATGCATCACAACAAAGCCCACTTCGCGTGTGTTTTGCCTCATCCGCAGAGCTACCTTCGAACTTCTTGTTGGTACCTTCCCCCTCAACCTGGGCGGCTCAACTGCGTGGGTCTTCACATCAAGAAAACAGACTGTGCAGACTCCGACCTGAACTGAGTGGTTGGTCGCAAGATTCACAAAGAACCACAAAACCTGCCACACTTGCTAGACCGAAGAGAGCGGAAGAGAGGGAGGCCTGATTCGCCTAGACTCTCTGTGACTATCGGACTGCGAGACTCCGAGATGCTTTCATTTCTTTCAAGAACCTTAACATCTTGGTGCGTCCCGCCTCTGCATGGCGCGGGTCTTGGGTGCTCGACAAGATGAGCTTCCCTTCTGCAACACCAGGCGGCTCCTGAAGCAATGTGCCAACTTCAGTTTCGTCTGAACAAGTGTTGCAAGTTGTTCTTTAGCTCAGCTCTCTTGAAATGGCCTCCGCCTTCTCTACCAACTTCGCCGTCTGTCTGAAGTCTCCAAGATCTCTTGCATCTGCATCGTGGCAAACCTCAAAAGAAATCCAATGGACATATGCTGCAAAAACAGGATGAAGACACATTTAATATTTAGAAACACCTTCAAGGTCAGCTTGGCAGGAAGCACCAAAAGCACTGCATGTGTTCATTTAGAGGGCCCATTTAAACAGAATGGCACACACCAGTGACTCTCAGCCACTGGCACAGCAATGGGCGAAAACCATTTCGTTCTCTGTTAGGGTGCCTGTCTTATCAGAGAAGACAAAATTGACCTTGGTCTGCTGGTGTGGTCTTTTCACAACAAAAAGGACCAGCTGAACGGAGCGTTGCATCCTCTCTCGCTGTCTCTCTCGGATCTCAGCTTGTCCCATCTCTTCAACCAAATCAGCCGTTCTGGCAGTGGCCCCGAGTTTGCTCCTGCAGCTCCATGTCAGTCGTTTTGGTCTGAAGAATGACCAGTCTGCATCAAATGTCAGCACAATCGATCTTCTTCCTTGGATCCACCATCTGTGGATCTCTATTGATCTGGAACCCCAAGACCAGCTTCACCTCACGACAGAATTCATGGCCCGGAATGGTATCCATGTTTTTTGTTTTTGCACCTCAAATCAAATCTGCGTAGCCTTTAGAACACATTTTGACATTTTGCTATGAACTCCGGCAATCTCGAAGAAAACATAGAGGCTGATTGGGATGATCTGGTAGAGAATAATCCTGCAAATGGCGTTAAACACCACGCTGCAAAGTCTGGCTGTGATTGTAAATGAGGCGTCTCTGTCTGCACCAGCTGCTCTTACAACTGCTGTCCAGTAGAAAAGGAAGCGCAAGAACCAATTTCTCCCGTCTGCCACGCTCACACCCTGCACAAGGCGGCGAGATGAGTGCATGTCTGACATGTCACGACAGCATCACTTCATGTTTCCCGGACTGTTCGGAGCGAATGTTCGGTGGTCCCCTTCTCCCCTTCCCAGCCTGTATCTCTGCAGATGTCGCACAGTAGATGCACCATAGAATCAGCGCAATCACCAATCCCTGAGGCAAAAGGTTTTCCCTCGGTGCGTCCGCAGACCCACGAACGGAGTTCGGAGGCACAGAACACAATGGCCCACTCCGCCTGTACTCCACGATTGAGGTACACCTGCATATTGGAGACCTCAAGTTTTGAGATGGCGGTTCACGCTCATAGACTGGTACACTTGGACTTTAATCGACAATATAGAAAAGGACTGCTGTTAATATGAACAATCACCCCTTAAAGCCGCCTTGCCCACTGCCTCAGCAGCATTCAGCCTCACAAAATGCATGGATCTTCAGTCTCAGCTTCGATCTACTTGGTCTCTTGGGCACTGACCGTGTTTTCGTCTGCGGGCCACAAAATGCGGCGATTGAGATCACATACCTAGGCGCTGCGAGATCGTTGGCAAACAGCACATCTTCGAGTCTTGAGTAAGAGCCGCACAGAGTGTTTCTCAGGACACACCCTCGCGGAACGAAGAGCTCATAGCTCAGCTTGCAAGGACTACTCACCTTCCAGCTCATCGCAGCATCTCAAAAACAGTCCAACACACTTGCTCCGCCATCCACCCCATCGGGCCAACCCTCCCGTTCGGATGGTTTGCCTGCAACTCGGTCAGTTTGGCTTCGGTCTTGGGAGAGGCTGATGCAAGCTTCACTGACCTTGGGGACGTCTATGTCTTTTTCAGAGCACATCCGGCCCATCCGTCACTGAAAAAGGAACATGTTTCTTTTTTGGGTGCGACCCTGGAGCACGCCTGTTGGCTTGGAGTGGTCTAAGAGCCACGCCCTTCCATATCGGTCAAGACGGGCTTTGGAGCCTGCAGCTCCACCTGGCGTCGGTCACACGACTTAATTTCGCTTTCTTCCACCGTTTTGCTTATTGGCTCGTGCCTGCAAGCCTTCAGCTTGCAAGTGCTGCGCTGTCATGACAGCCTCAGCCACAGAAAAAAAATACCAATTACAGGTTCCTTTGGTAACATAGCGGGATATTTCAAAACAAGTGCCGCCTTGTGAATCCTTGTGATATATGTGTATTGTGCCATGCTTGCATGGGGAGAGGCATCCGTGCTTCTTTCGCCGCGAGCGCTGGTGAAATCCAAACGTGCCAGGCTTACAGGTCGCTGAATCCGGGTGAGTGAGACAGGACGAGGGTCTGTCGCTCATTCAAAGCGTTTTGCTGTGAAGTAGTCCTTGTCCAGAAAGTGCACTCTGACATAACCATCCTCTCCGCCAGTGACAAATCCCGCTCCATCTCGAAACCACGCCAACGTGTTCCTTGCGCGTCTGTGGAAGATGGATCATGAAGAAGCCAACAACGAAACCAAGCTGGTGAGCAAACCCTGACTTGTTCATTCAACGGAGAGAACGTCCCGTTTTGCAGCCTTTTCCTTTTGCATAGGGACACAGTAGGCATCGGTTTGCATGGTTTCCCAGAGCTCATCAACATTAGAGGACGTTGCACATAAGAAGATGTGACTCGCTTTTGGACATCCTGTATGAATTTCAACGGAACCTTAATTAAGGGTTTAAGCATGTTTGAAATCACAGTCTTGAGTCTTGAGACATCTTGCGACTGTTGCATGCTCGTACGCAGTAATTGAACACGACTCTGTCGAAGAGTCTTGCCCTTTGCATCTGAACTGACAAGCTTCAAAGGGCCAATGTGCCCCTTGACAGAACCTATCTCCTCTTCGAAGACCATGTGCCACAACAAGGCCTGAAACGTGCGCCACGGACGTTGAACAGCCGGCTAATGATCGAACGGACCAAGCCGCACCTCAAAGGCACCACTGGCGCCCGAAACGGCCACGTCCTGCCACGGGAAGGTGACCGGGCAGATCCCATGCAGAAGTTCCAACGAAGGTTTTGCGCAAAACGATTGCACGGCAGAAGTGGTCGTTTCACTTTTTGGTGCGTTCCTTTTTGTGCGTGGAAATGCCTCGTTTGTTTGTGAATGTTGTGAGGCATGTTCCCAACCTTGGCATCTTGACCGCCACCCATCAGCAAGTGCAGCTTCTGGTTCTGAACCAAATGGAAAGTGATCTTAAAACATCCAACTGTTCACACAAAACAGCAGAAACCGCACCTTCTCCGAGCAGTAGAGGGGTGAGATGGCAACGTCATTCAAGGGTCTGTCTGTTTTGTACCTGAGACTTGTCCAGGAATATAATGTGTCCTCATATTTTCTTGACTGCTCTTTTTATCAACCGCACACTCCACGGAGTATTTTTCAGTCCAAACGAATGGCAGCAGGGCGACTCCTTGATACACTCATAGTCGTCCATCGTCCAAAGCTTGGCGATTCCATCCTGCCAAGCTGGTCGACCCACTTTCTTCCACCCCATACCAAAACATCCGGTGTATGTTCTTTATAGGGAGACCCCCGAACTCTCGCCCCCGTCGCTGCACGCCACGCCCACGTCTGTGGCTCGGCGGAGCTCTGCGGAGTTCTGCGGAGCACCTGCCTTGGAGCAGGTGGCCATCATCATGCGGTCCTCTGTGAAGTTCATGCCTTGGGCGCAGTCAGCAGCGGCGCATTCGTGGCAAAAGAAAGGCACTCGGAAACAGACAAACATCCATCACCACATTGTCAACTTTCAAAGGTGAATGGTCGGAATTCGTTGAAACATATCAGACACAGTAGCCCATACCTACATGTTTAGAAAGACATGGTTATTTGCTGTACATGTTCCATGTTGGCAGTTGCCTTGACTGAGTAGGAAAGTACCACCAGCTCATTATTACATTGTCAGCCTGCAACTGGTCAGAGTTTTATCTCCAAATCAGAGATCCTCAACCTTGCAAGCCGTCATCTATGAACCGATTTATATACAGTAATTACATCTGAAAAACTCCTACCCCACAAAAGAACTCAACCTGGTACATACAAGTTTTTGGCTATTTGTGCTCATCAACTCCAAGACACAAACCCTGCAGAGGCCTCTCCAGCTCTGAAATCAAAACCACTCCAGCTCTTCGGGGGAGTCGAAAAGAACCGACGTGCAGACTTTCACCCAACATGAACAAGGAAAAGAAAAAAACGTTTGCAAAGAAGTATATAATATAAGCTATGTATATAAGATATAGTATGTAGGAGGAGCCGCCCTTGGGGGATGGTCATGGGGGATGTGTCCCCCTTTCCTAAAGGGACCGTGGTGGGGGTTGTCCAGTACATCGCATAGAGTATCGAGACTATAGCCCTCCAGTGACTCTGGAAGGAGCCAACCTTTCTGAAAACAGCTCCAAGCTTCTGGTGATGGCCATCTGATGCGCCTGTATAAGCTTCAGTTGTCGGCCATCTTCAGCATCCCAAATAATCACAGTGCCCTCCTCAAAAATGGAGACCTGAGATACAATCATACGATATCATGCAGCCATGGTTCAAAGACCATATCCCAGCCCACTGGTAACTGGGTCTTGGTTTAGTTTTGACCCACATCCACATGCCCTTTTCGCGCAAAGCACAGGTTCCCTTTTGCTGCGAAGTAGCAAGGGTCTCATCAAAAGCGCCCCATTTCACCTTCAACAGCAGCAAAAGAAAGCTGTGCGTCTATGCAAGAACCACCAAACTTGGTTTAAAGTTCAAACATGTTCGAAGACAGGTTCTGATGCATGCCCAGTGACTTTTGTTGCCTTCATGGGCAGCTGTTCATCAATTGACAGGATCCTCTTCACGGGGTCAAACTGCCAAATCATGATCCTATTGGGCACAAGGCCCTCCGACTGGCTCTTGAATTTGTCCTCAGCAACTGTCGCAGTACACATGGCAATTTTCTCCCCAAATCTTGCCCCCCAGCTTACGAGAATGCAAAAAACACTGTACCAAGCTATGCTTGTTTCAATGCTCCAAGTCTCATTGCATGTGCAAATGTAGTTCTGCTCACCTGGCTTCCTTGGCACTGCACTCTTCGACCATACGAGTTGAAGCGAAGCTGCGAAGCAAAAGAATTGACTTCGAACCCATGCAGTGCCCCATGCGGCTTAAAAGCAGATTCCACTCCACGTACTTCAGAACTCCACCGTGCTGGATGGTCTGAACCATCTCACCCTTGGCCGCGGCTCTGGGGGGGAACATGGAACGCAACCATCGTGCGTGTGGACCTCACCATGTCCAGTCAGAGGTCCAAATGGATCTGCTGAGCTTTTGGCTGCAAAGTTGTAGAACACGACTTTGCCTCAGCTTGCTTGAGGCTGCAACGTTCCGCAGGTCCACCGCATCGCGCCCAAAGCTTCGAACAGTTTGAACGTTCGCACTACGCTGATTGGGGCACCAATACTAAAGAGAGCGGGTTCATCTTTGATCCATTTCTATCGGTCGTCCGGCAGGCAAGCTTCCATCTGCATTGGCTGTGACCACATACGTGCTATCCATCGTCACGTCTACCGCATAAACAGCACCACCTTTGTCGCCGTACCTCATTGCACGGACAGGAAGTGACTGGAAAATAATGTGTCTTGGTTTATTTGGTATCAGTTCCTGTTTCCTAAACATTTTTGGGTACAAATTTGTTCCCAGTTCCACTCCTGGGTCAACCCCTGTTTCCACTCGCCTTGACGTTAACGTAGAGAGGTGTGAAACATTGTGGAAGTTTAGCAGCGAGCAGGGTGGTAGAGCTCGCTGCACCAAGATATTGGTGAAGAGCGCAACATTGTTGCTGAACAAACCAGCCACCCTGGATGTTTGCATGGTCAATTTGAGCCCGGTTGAAACCTTCACAACAAATTATGCCTTTGGGGATCTTTGGGGTAATTGCTAGTGGATGAAGTTTTGTGAGATGCAGTAGAACTCTTTTCGGACGAGTTCGGACGCATCATCACAACCTCCAAAAACGACCAACCATGACATGATCACCCGTCAATGTGTTCCAGAAGCTTCCTTCAACTCTGTTTCTGACGTGCTTCCAAGCCGCGTTCCGACGCGTTCACAGGTTTCAGTCCTGACAAGGTTCACTTCACCGTCCTTGGCGCAGGTGATGAAAAAGTCACCTCAGGGCAAGGAATCTTTAACGTTTTGTTTCCTTTGTTTGTTTGGTATTAGACACACACGTCAGTTCAGTGTCTTGATGGAAGATCCCTCAAAGGCAAGAGCCATCGTAGTTGAATTTGACGAGGGTGAGCGGCCTTGTAAACATTAATTCATGCAGATTGATTTCAAAGCTTGCAGCGGCTACGGAACAACATGCACTTAGTAACAGTTTTCGAAAGTATGCACTTCTCACTGCAGTAACTAAGAGGTGATTCTATCCATTGGCCGCTTTTGTTATTGTTTCACATCGACATGTCCAAGGCAGCTGCCGCTCATGCATGTGTAGGGAGTAAGGATGCATCCTGCAAGCACCGCGGCACTGAAGTTAAACGAGAGCTTGCTGAGATTTGTTTGGAGCTACAGGGAGAAAAAGCTCCAAGTAGCGTCCTTGCTCCTAGTAGTAAGGCCAGGAGCCCCTAGTAGCTCCGATCGCTCCTAGTACGATGCCCTTTGCTCCTAGTAGCGTCCTCTATTCTATGACTTTTGGAGATTTGTTGGAGACCCCGCAAATGGAGCAAAGGGCAAGCGCATGATAGCGCACGCAGTCAGTGGTCCTTTGTGAGGCAACTTCTAATCCAAAACTACTCTAAATTTGCTGGCACGAATTGCCAAAACCCAGCACGTCTTGGCTTGAACCAATTTCCCCGGGCGGGCATTATCCACCAGAGCTGTTTCAGTACTGCAAAAACACAAGGGCAACTGATAAGCCATGTATAGCCATGTCTTGACAAGTGCCAGGCAGTGTCCAACACATTCTGATGCGCATTCTCTCCTCCTGAGTTTGTATGACTGTCAGTCCAACCAACACCCCTTTCCAGTTCATGTGTGTCTAGGAATACTCGAAGCATACTTGAGTGTTGGCAATGTCACTGTATCTGAGCTTACCACGAGGCACATCCGCACCTGCCTGCACTCGGGAGACATCAACAAAAGGGGCTCCGTTTAAGCCCTGTTCTACTTTGACTACTTGTATATACTTATGTTAGGACACCATGCATAATGCATCGTATCCAAGAGTCTGGTATATCTCCAGATTTGCAAAACACTGGCGTTGCTCCTATGCTCTTCTGGACCAACACTCAAGCGAGGTAAGTCTCCTCTGGCATGTCTGTGAGCGCGGACAAGAGATTGGCAGCGTTACGCTCCTGTGCCAAACACATTGGATTTGAGAAAACAACAAAATAGAGGGAACACTTAGCATCACCTGTGTCGTGCTGAGTGCTAAGCATGCCCTCTGTCATTCCTATAGCTATTCTAAGCAACTGCAAATAAGCATGACAACTTGAACAACCTTGTGGGGTCCAGGGACGCCGTACGCAAATACTCCGTCCGGACCTTCAGGTTCGTCTCACCGTCCAAATTGACCGTGGAAATAAACGCCTGCAATTAGAGTCTTGGACTCCAAACATGTTATGTCAAACACTGGATCGTTCAATCTTTCTATCTTTCCTCCAGTCATCCTATTTCATCTCTTGAAGAATGTAAAGACATGATCTGATCTCTTCAAACGGATCTTCTCCTGCCCACCTGCCTGCCCACCAGCCGCCCGCACCAAAAGTACATCGGCAGCAAAGGCCTACATCGGGTCCAGGTCTCAAACGAGAAAGGATATCACTCGGTCCATGTTCACTTGGGGGGGTCCGTCAATAGGAACCAAACATGTCATAGCCCCATGGAATCTTATGGACCCGGGACCTACCAGGAACAATGTATGGAACAATATATTGCGAAACATAGCGCATGACATGAGTTGCTCTTCTAACATTAGTTGTTTAGGGATGTTTTAGGGTGTAATTCACATGTCGGATGTCCTGTACGGTTCTCCAGCGTTTGACACATGGTCACCGTAGGTATCAAGATTCAGTCCGGAATTGTTGCCAATGAAAACTCTCAAATCACAGTCTTGGATGAAAGGCTTTGTATTAAAACAATAAACATGGCAATCCCACTGAGAACCAACTCCGTCGTCTGACTTGAGTGATTGGACGTGCGGACCTCATCTGCGAAGTTGAGCAGAATATCTCCCACGCGCACATCCATCCATCTAACCTGCCGCAAAGAGTTCTTCTCTGCATCGGTGCAAGCAATCTGTTTCAACTGTGCAACCAATTTTCTCCTGCCTGTTCAAATCGTTTGCCCTTAGTGTCGTAGCGCCAACACCTCGAAAGCAAAGCACGAAAACATCTGACGCTTCGAAAGCTTGTTCGAAGTCCAGCCTAAAAAGTACTGCAATGCGGGTGAACCATCAACAGGCACAGGGAAATCCAGTGCAAGACGAGTCATCTTTTTCATTTTCTGACAAATCATGTAGAAAAAAACACCTGAAATCATTCAGAAACCACATGAAACCACCTATGACGCTGACATTCTCAGATTCTCCGCATCATCGTCCTTCTTGCGCCGTCGGTCCTCATAAAGGTCCTGGACACGATGCCCGACATCGCTGCGTCTTTTGCGCCGTCGGGACCGGACGGGTGGACCGGGATCGCTCCTTGAAGGCGGTCCACAGGAGAACTCCAATGAAAGGCACCACGGTGCTGGACCTGACGAGACGTGAACAGACAACGGAGCACGGACAACGACGCGTTTCAAACGACGGTGAAAACGACGCCTTTTCTGAAAAGGCAAAGGTTGGTGACTTTGGTCGATCACCAGGAGTCGCCCATTTGGTGCAGTGCCACTCCTAGTAGCGTCCTTGCTCCCAGTAGTAAGGCCAGGAGCCCCTAGTAGCTTCTTGTTCCCAATATATGGTTTCAGATGGCGATGGCACAAAGCCTTTTTTTGCAGTGCCGATGTTCGGTGCGCCGTGTTTTGAGGCGCTGGCCACATCATAGGACCATCTGGAAGACATACGATGATACTAACAAAGAGAAAGTAGATGTTTGCCTTGGTACATCACCGGTTTCTTTGCTCACAACTCACGAGGCTATTGGAACCTCTTTAGTAATGGTATGTGTTGCCCGGCAGAAAAAACACTCGGTAGTTTGGTAGGGGGTAAATAGTCGCGCAGCAGAATATGGGAAACTAGCCACAAACATTCGCGCAATTGCATGGAGTGAGGGAGAGGCCACAGTAGCACATTCGGAAAGGAGATGAACAGTGGAACAGTGTAACACATCCATCGCTCATGCTCTGGAAAGACTTTTCAAATCTTTTCAATCACTTCTAAGCCAACTTAGTTCAGGATGGAATCCCGAATTTCTATTCTTTCAGGGCAGCGCTGCTCGATGAAATTGAGCGAAAAGAGACTTCGGAAGCCTCGGAGCAACACCATGATGCCAAGAATGTCAAGCAAAGGTGGTGCCGACGGTCCTAACATTCACACGTGAAATCATCTTGACAGTCTCTGGCTAGCCGTCTCAGCTTAAAACCAAGTCAACCAAGTGAACCTGGTGGTTCTGATGCCTGCAATGTGCATAGGGACATCTAAACATTTCATGACTCTTGGTGTAACCCAAGTTTGGCCCAAATGCTGCTGAAGCTTAACTTGAGCACAGCACGATTTGGAGAGCCGCTCTGCACTTCGTTAATCGAATGAGGGTCCACAACCGTGCTGGACTCCCTGCGTGCAACTGTTGGCTTGATGTCAGTGAAATGGATGAACTTGAAGCTGCTCACGGGCAGTGCTGCGAACAAGCCAAACACACGAAAACACACGAGCCGATGATGAAAGCCTCGAGAGTGATATCAATCTCCTGTGCCGTTCAGATTTTAATAGCATGATCTAGCACGTTGGGGGGTCAATTCATAGCTAAGTCAAATGTATACATGAAGCCCCATACAGATCTATAAAATTCTATGGCCTATACACTTGCTTGGGCTAGAATCTAGAAAGCAACACTGGCAGATTTGTTGAGGGATCTGTTGGCACGTGGCCAAACTCGCAAGGGCCATAAGCTCCGTCCTCTCGCTATGGCTCGGCATTCCTGCCGATCGGACAAGGCATGTGAAGCCCGATGCGGATTGAACATCAGGGATCCTCCAAACTAGCTTGCCGGAAGGATTCTGAAACAAACAATAAAATCCAGCTCGAGCAGTCCCATAAAGAAGAGCAAAGAATGGCAAGCTCACCAAAAATATCTTGCACCACGGACAAGTTGAAGTTCTGAAGTGGTGGCTTTGTAAATATGAAAGAATGCAAGGGTTTGAGAAACAAAAGGAACAGTCCAACCCATTGAACTCCATCTTCAAGAGCAAAAATGTCTTTGCCCTATTCAATGTGCACCAATGGGCCTGGATGAGCACCCAAGGACAGCCGAAAGAGAAAGGTGCTGCGCCGGAGCAGGGAATTTGTAGGCGTGATAGCCCAAATGCACCCCTGAGGTAGGCTTGCCTGTTGTACTTGATTTCCATGGTCTATGGTCAAACACGACGTGTTGCTAACTCGGCTGCTGCGTGTACGGGCTGGACAAAGACATGCGGTGTATAGACAAAAATACAGGACACATAAAGGGAGGAAACTACTGCCTGAGCCACGAGCAGCCAATGTTTGCCAGTAGAGTTTGTACCACAGCAACCACAACTCAATTCTGCAGTATGTCAAAGGGTCAAGCAGGACCGGTCTTTTCTTCAAAATGGGCTGAGTCGCAAATAATGATGGTCAACCTCTCAGGCTGTCATGGTTTCTTGACTCTCATTGGAAGCTTGTGGGTTCTTGGACGTGAACCGGGAAGCGACCAAGCCACCAAGGAGCATGCCAACGCAAGCACACACCCAAAGGGAAGAAAATGGGGCTGTCACTTCAAGCAACCTGCGAGACTCCACTGGAGACTCCATAGTCCAAGTCTCGACAGGCTCTTCAGTCCAAGCGATATGGCATTCTTGATCACGATCAACTTCCGGCAGTTTCTTCAGATAGGCCTCCATGTCTTCATCAGAGAAAGCAGGGGACTTGCCATTGCGAGTTTCAAAATGCCCTGGAAGCTCTTCTGGTAGATTGTGGATTTTGGGAGCAGGGCACTCTCGAGGATAAGCATGGTGCAGCCATTCTGCAAAGGGTAGACCATGAAGTGCAACCCGACCGGCCTGCCCTGGCTTCTGTGAGATCTCCACCAGCTTCTTCGAAACAAGTGCTGGCATGTCTGGCTCTGGCAAGACAGCCTTCACAGCCGCCTGCAGATCATCTGGGGCAACTTCTGACTTGGCCACAGCCTTTTCCAACTTCCGTAGGTGCCCGTCACATTGGTTCAGGCAGCATTGCGAATAATACTTTGATGTTGCCACGCAATTGTTGGCCCCAAGGACATAATTGGTTGAAATCAGTTTGGGCTTTTCGCGTTGGCTTTCTTCCAACGCACCGAGTGAACGCAAGTATGCCACGCTCTCGGTAAATTGCCAGTTGCCTCGACTGAAGTGACTGGAGTAGAAGTCCCGCAGCGGCACGTGTCCTGGGCATTCGGACTCGAGTTGGCGAAGCTCCTGTGATAGCACTTGACACTCTCCATTTTGCCACCGACCGTAGTGTTCATTCAACTCCTTGATGACATTGGTCAAGTCCTCGAAGTCAACACGGGTTGCCTGTGTTGGAAGCACCACTTCTTGAATGCTATGAAGGAAGTTCTGCAGGTTGAGCCATGAAGGATACTTCTCCTTGATGTCGAGCTTTCCATCAATGTACTTCTCCCGTTCAGGGCTAACAATTCCCGCAGCATCGCAAATGTAACCAATCATGACCTTAGCACAGCTATATAATACATATATAATCATAATATATCATAATATGATATGACAATAAGTGCCGCTATATTCCCACCATGTTGGACCTGAGTTTCACCGGATAATTTTCTCCGACATCACAAACAAGCTTCTTAAGATTCTGTAGCACTCCAGTTCTCAGCTTAACCGTTCAAGCTGTCCAGTCTAAGCTGTGAACTTGCTCAAGAACCTTCTGCAGCTGTTGGTCGTCAATGTGGCCGAACATGGGCAGCTTTTTGGCCTTGAACACGGCCTTGACTTGTTGCAGCACCTCTTGGTGTACCAGTTCATCGAGGGTCGCTGCCAGCAATGCCAACTCCTGAACACCAATATCAGCTGAGCACTTCTCGAAGGCTGATTCCACTTCTTGAGGAACTTCACCTTGAAGGATACCTGGGCCAATATTTTTTTCCGAACATGTTATCGATACCAAATCCTTGTTCTCTACAAAAGCGAGGACACCTTGTTCTGAACGCTCAAAACATGCCAAAACGGGCGGACAAGGGACGGTGCAAAGGTGGAAGCTCAGCCGGGCCGTTCTGGGCGAGGCTTAACGCGTACAACTTGGATTCCTCGAGGCCGTTCACATTCCAACCTCTGGCATCGACAAAGACACGATGTAAGGCATACCTCGCTGCATTGGCTGTCAAACCTCCTGTGGGTGTATGTGGAAGGACAGCAAATAGAGGACGCAACGCAGCCTCAAATCCAATGCTCTGACCCTCAATCCACTCCTTGCGATTGGCACCCATCTTTGCTTCAATGCTCTCCAAGATGTGATCCTGACAGTGATTGCCGTGGGCTCTCTTGGCAAGCTCCACCATCAAGGAATGTTCCCCAGGACGATCTGCATGTCCGCAGACCCACAGGGCAAGAAACGCGAAGAACGGAAACGGCATCGCAACGATGTCGGTGGTGACCTAACAATAAGACCTCAAATGTGCTTGAGAACCTTCGGCTTCATTTGCGCTGATTCGATGAACATGTTCGCTGCACGTTCTGCACACATTCCATGACACCAATCAGCGACCCATGACAACATCTGCAACAAGCTATCATATCACAGTAAAAACAATCCTCCTCTTCTTACAACAGCTGCTCTCTGCTCTCTCTCTCTCTCTCTCTCTTTTCAGCGGACGATCTCGGCGTCACCATGTCACCTCCATTCACCTCCGACCGGAGAGGCTCCGACGTCCTCTTCAGCGCCCTCCTCCGCCGGAGCCTCCACGACGCCGGAGCTGCGTGTCCTTTTCGGTGAGCGATGCGGGCGAGCGCGGGTGGCGAGATCCAGGATGATCTGAGAGAAGTGGTTCAGGGATATCCACGAGGCCTCAAATACTGCGAAGCATTTCAAGGGGGTCAAGATCAGTCTGTCTCGTGCGAAACTGGGTGTGCAGCCACTTTTCGCTCCATGAATGCATTGAACTCAACCTGCAGGTGTCCAAAGCGCACATCCACAGAATCAAGTTTCCTGAAAATGCTTGGTGTCCAGACAGCTCAAAAATGGGCCATCTTGAGTCTAGCATAGCTTGAAGATCAAAGCGCCGCAAGCCAGCCTGCGCAGCTGTTGCAAAACATGACTGAGCATGTCACTTGCGTGAATAGAAACATATTGAATGTATGGTAGAATACAGTATAGAATAACAATAACAATTTCTTCAGGACCTAAAATTAATCAAATCAGGATTCATGTCCTTTCTTGAAGTCGATTTGCAAAGCAACCTATTCAGCACCCATCCACCCCAAAAAGAGACAACTATAAACACTGAAATGCACAAGAGCTCTTGGACCACTCCATGGGGTCCTGGATGTAGCGAAGCAGCAAGTTCCTGATGCTCTTGGCCCCGTTCCATCCATCATGCTGGGTGCCGTGTCTCTATCTATCTATCTATCTGTCTTTCTTTCTTTCTTTCTCTCTAATCTATCATATCTATCTACAGTATCTGTCTGTCTCTCTGTCGGTCGGTCTCTGTCTCTGTGTCTCTGAGGAAGCGGCTCACATCCCAGCGGGGCAACAAAGACCGACCTCGAATCAGCTGTTCGAATTTGGACCGTACCGGATACCGACGATGTGGACGTCAATGGTCGTTGTGGCCGTGTCATGGCATGTCTGATCCCCAACCCCCACGGCCACGAAGGAGGTTTCAATGCATCATCATTCTGAGAGTGAGAAACAATAGAAAAGAAATCAAAAAAGAGATACGATACGGTATATTACTGTATTATCTTTTTGCATCATAGAGTCTGTATGTTTGTTCCCTTTTGCCTCATAGAGTCTTTAGAGTGAGACCATCTTCTCGACTTCTTGGACTCCGGCTTTTCAAACTTCTTGGGCTTGCGAAGGATCAGTGGGAGTTGTCGATCTGTCACACACATCAACCGTGCAGTTCACCGCAGCGTAGTTCGGCTGCGAAGCGAAGGGCGTGTTGCTGCGGACCACAAACATCACGGCATCAAGGCTTCGACCCATGGCATGAAAGAATTCCTCCGTGTGCGGGAAAAGAGGATTCTCCTGCGAGACCATGGGAGCGGCAAAGGCCACATTGATGCGATGCAGAAGGCATTTCCAAAACTAGTCGATTCTGAAAACTTTAGTTGTTTGAAAGACAACATCGACCGAGGATGCGATGACGAAGGCAGTCCAATTGACTGATCATGTGTTGCAACTATCTTGGCTACGAGTAGTTGGCATAGTTAGTTGGACTGCTTCCCCTTCAAGCATGTTTCTGCCTAATGTCTTCATGCCTGCAAGGTTCCACACACCACATGCATGTAGTGCACACACCACAATATACTACATGTGTTGCAGTTAGTCAACGTGCTGTAAAACGATAAGGAAGAAAACAACGATAACAACTGGTCAATTTGCCATGGCCCTCACTTCCCTATAGAATGTCAGTATTGGTGAATTTTGCGGATGAAACTCATTCCGAAAAAGAGCTTGGTCCAAAGTGACAGATCAGTGGTCTCGTGCTACCTTTGCCCCAAACCTTCCATTCTTTCGTTTAATATGTATATATGTTATGTTTGCATGTGGTTGATATGTTGTCACGCGTGTTTGTGTGGGTCCAGTACTTAGTAGCTTGTGAGATCTCTGCATTTGTCACACTGTGCATGCAGGGTGCAGGGTGATCAATGCGTTTGTCCGTAGGCCCGCCCGTCAGTGGGTTCCCTGCAAGGCTTGTCGTGCAAGACCAGTTGCTTTTCAACCATCCTGTTCACCTCGTATCCCTGTTCACCAATAATATGGATACAGCATCATATTGCCACTTTTGGAATGCAATGTGGCCATGCGTTTTATCAACAACATGTTGCCAAATCACTTGGACTGTGAGGCCTTGGTTCCTTACGACCTCGCTAAGGCCTTTGGTGTGATAATGTGTGATATATTGACTGACTTGGGTAGACTTTGATGATGACGTTTGGGTGTTTACCTGTGTCGCTTTCTGTTTGATTTAACGTCGCTCATTGAAGCCACGGCCCTCGTTCGTTTACGAGTCCCGTTTGGGTGTGCCTCAGAGATTGAGAACATTGATGCATGAGAATGTCATGATATTCTATGCCATCAATGCATTGAACATTATGCCATCAATTCTCCATCTCCTTCCAAAAGTTGGAGAGGCATCGCCACCGCATCGCAATGGCAATCTGCAGTGCACCCACACCAGGATTTGCGCAGCACACCGACAAACAATGACACACATGCATCTTGGTGCTCCACTGCCAGACCACCAAGTGGGCACCTACACAAAACGTCATGAAACAAACATCACCCAAACTTCGACACATTTGGACGGTCAGAGTCATTCGGTTCCTCTTTTGCGGTTGAGTCCAACGAGAGTTACACAGTTTTCATCACAGGGGCGGGGCTTGCAAGTGTGATGAAACTCAGGACAAACAAAACACAAACCAAAAAGACGTCCCCAAGTGGAAAAACCGGTATGTTCACCTTGGTGAACAAATCCTTGGTGAAAAAGCATCATGCCCATCCATCCCTTGTTGGAATCAACCTTGGGCTTGCACTCCCCGGAGGCCACGGTCTTAAAGATCGGCCACCTCGGCAAGCAAGAAGCTACGGACGGTTGGAGGCCATCGCTATTAGGTTGGAGGCCAAAACCGCTACTACTGCTGCTGCTGCTGCTGCTACTACTACTACTAGTAAACAAGAAACTACGAACGTAGCCTCCACGATTCGCGGTGGGCCGCGAGACGCGCCGCGGGGCAACCGGTGCTGCCCAAGCGCCCGGCGCTCGGTCGAGGTTCAAGGTGCCGATAAAGTCCTCGACCATATTGGCCAAGACCACCTGGAAGGAACTGGGAGCTGGTGCTAGAGGAACTGGACAACCAGTGCATTGTCCAAATTCTATAGATCTACAGTCCATAATTATAGTTATAGCTGCTACAACCATGATACAGTATATATATGCTTCTGTAATTTGAATATCTGTATAGATATATTATCATCATACCTAGGAACTCGCGCAGGCTAGAATTCCAGCCCGAATTCATCCGGTAGTATGTCTGCCCGAACATGGTATTCACGCCTGACCCTGGAATTCTCGCCCGAATGTGCTTTTGCATGTTTAATGCTCAATATCCATATTTTCTGCGAGTGATCAATACATGCAATGCAACATGAGTCTACAAAATCGCTCGATCACACTAATTCTCGCCCGATCTCAAACACACCGATTCTCGCCCGAATTGAAATGTGTTACTATACAGACTTGCAACGAGAGGTGCTTTGCAAGGAATTTACATTTGCCCGAATCACCTTTTCTGCCCGAAGGCAGGCTAAGGACAAACCCTCCGACCGAAGGGCCGATTCGGAACAGAAAGTTGAGCGTCCCCAAATATCTCCGACCTCCACATCTCCTCGACCTGAGGTCCATGATGACAGGAGACCTGAGCTGAGCATCGAAAAGGTCGGTGGAAAAAGTGATCCGTTGAAGTTGTCAAAGAAGGGAAGGACCAGTTACGAAGGACCAGTCAAGAAGGGGCATGACAAAAAGATAAACATATTACAAAGCTAGCTTTAACCCTCTATGCTTCCAGCTTTGAATGTTGGTAAGGATGATTGGCCACCTGACGCGGTGCAGCGCACAAGACGGCCAATCATCACAGCACATCACAATACTTTCCAAACATGCCGGCTGAGGCTGAAAAATGTATCTTCTTTTCGAGTCGCAGTTGAGGTCCTTTTCATCTACACTGAAGAATTCTTCGACATCCGATTTTGGGAGGCTCCTTGGCGGTGCTTGGCTGATGAACAGGAAGTACTTCAAACTTTGGTGGATGGCTCCTTGGTTTCTCAGGCTTTGTTTTCTTTGAACACCAAGAATTGGTGCTGAGGACTCCCAGGACCCTGACGTCATCTGTGGTGCCTTGAAGCCTCACCGTCGTGACGTGAACAACGACGTGAACGACGTCGCATCGCTGCGACGGGAGACGCGGCGGCGAAAAAAAGGCGTGGACCGTCCGAAGGATTTCCTGAGACACGCTCTGTATGTGTGATCTTCCACGAACTGCTGCAGGAAGGCCTCCGCTTCCAAAAGGAAATCGAGAGGCTTGCCTCTCATCTTTTGTCTAACATGCGAAAAAGATCGAAAAAAACATGAAGGTGTTCCTGTACAAGCTGCAATAAATCCTCTCCTGAGAGGCTTGGGTCCTGTGGCCCAAATCAATGATTCACACTTCAGCAAAAGGCTACTCGGATAGCAAAATCTTAGCTTGGGACTCCCCAGCGCCTGAAGTCGTAGTGCAGGAAAAGTGAGTCCTGTCGAAGAAAGCGGATCAACAAACCAGCGTCCTGTCCTCACAACAGACCGCGTCCTCATCATGATCATGCGGCAATCGCACGCGAGCAATCCTGCCATCCGCGGAAATAGAAGATATAGAAGGCATGAGCATGGTGTTGGTCATGATGCCAATATCCCCTACAAAAGGTCTCAACTCTGATCAGCACGGAACATGTTCACCTCTGCCCTTGAATAAACGCACAAGTTTATTATGCAAATCTGAAATTATACAACAGTGGCTGAGATCACGGATGGCAAAAGTAGCCGTCCCTCCACTTCTGAACCTTGAATTGCAATTTGGTGCAGTGGTAGAACAGGAAGCTGGGACTTACTGCACTGCAGTATACAAGTAGTGACTCGGTGGCTTTGCTGGGGCAAACACTACGCTGCGCGAAGATAACCATGGTTCCAGCGCTTCTGAAATGTCTTTGCGAACCAAAACTGCGTTCTCGAATTCAACGTGGAGAAGGCTGTATTCGGAGCCAGCAGCATCCAGCAGTGCTTGCAAAGAACATCCTACCAAGGCTTGCTTGGTATGCTCGCGCTCGTTCCTGCGAGAGAAGGCCGAAGTCAAATCTCGCTTGATGGTCGTCTCGACTCCCAAGCTGGAACCGGAAGGCCAAAGGGAAATGTTGGGAGGAAAGAGTGGGTTAATCTCCACATGCCATACTTTTGGCCTCCATCCAGACAAAGTGAGTGCCTGCACTAAATGACAATCCAAACCATCTACATCCACTTTGATGATGTCGACCTCATCCTTTTCCACCCAACGCCCAGGTCGTTGTGCCATAGCGATCAACAAACGCTGGGAAATCGTCTCCGCCTGTGCCGCTTCCATGACGATTTGAACGTCGGGTGTGAAGTGCCCCAAGGAGCTCTGAAGCTCCTCCTCCAAGGACTGATTGGCCTCGAAGACCACACCACCAAAGCCCTGCACAAAGAAGCAATTCACCGGATCTAGCCCATGCCCCACGCGGCACCCACCATCTCCACCTCGCAGCGGCAGGTTGTTTTTGAATGTTTTTGACAGGAATCACTGGGACGTCTTTTGTAAGCATTGATGCTGGACCTATATGTAGATGCAAAATTATCTTGCTATCTTCATACTCATAATCAGGGGCGTCGTAATCCTGATGATCGATCATGATCATGCCAATTAACTCACTGTCAACTGAACTCGACTGCCATCTGCAGCTGGACTTGACGGAAATTTCAGGGAAGTTTTCTGAAAGCGCCGCATGATACGACGCGTCATCGTTAGTTTCTTGGGAAACGTTTCGTAGTTTCAACGGCAGGTGGATCACTCTGGCCATACAAAAACAGTATATATAAGTATTCCCAAATGATCTAAATAAGAATGAGATCTAAGATGGTCCATTACAAATGGTCATGTTCGATAATTAGGCCAACCAGCTGTCACTTCGTAGGAAACTATCATTCGCCCTTTTCATAAAGTGTTCCTCACGATGCCAGAAACGAGGCTTGATTTAGAGGTGGTGGACTCAAAAACTGAGAAGCCAATCTTGGAAAACATCTTTTTACTCTTCTCCGGCTGACACTTTGAATGTCAAAAAAACATCAAAAGCATGCTTGGAACATCTTGGAACCACAATACACCCCAAAATGCGGAAGTCTTGAGAAGCAAACTTCAAGGAACAAGTATGTGGTGGTTGACCAATATTATTTCATGATGGAATCGCCATGCTTCCCACCAAAAAATATCTATTCGGGGCCTCATCACGAAGCATGGTCCTATGTCTAGCTAACATATTTTAAACCTGGGCTGGAACTAAATACTACGATGAGAAAATTGATGAGGTGACTTGTTTAATTGCGCCAGGTTTAGGTATCAGGGGCATTCAGGTGTGTTGCGCCATCTATGCGCTGCGCCCTATTTTGCAGAAAATAGCGGAAATTGGGACCGCGCCATCTTTTGGGCCTCCGTAAGAGGAAATCAAAAGGAATCAAAAGGACATTAATAGGGATTCAAAAGGAAATCAAAGGACATTAAAAAGAAATTGAAAGAACAAAAGGATATCAAAGAGAAATCGAAAGGAAAATACTGTAAACGGAAATCAAAAGGACATTGCAAGGACATTAAAAGGAAATCAAAAGGACAATAAAAGGAATCAAAAGGGCATTAGTAGGATTCAAAAGGAAAGCAACAGGAATCATAAATGTACAGAACTTGGCCATTGGGCCATCTATAGGCCCCAACCGTTTTTTTGGGAAATAGGGAAAACTAGTAACCGCACAAACATCCCGCATAATTTTAATTTTCTGCACCCCAAAGACCAGTTGCGCCATCTATGACGGCCAAATAGCGAGAAAAAGGAGATACATGGCGCGGCTGTTCCCGCTATTTTGTTTTTTGAGTTGCGCCAACAACTTTCCAAACGGTGTATATATAAGTAACTATAAAATACTATACATAAACATATGTTTGTGTCACCAAGCAGGAACTGACATCTTGCAGCATGACCCCAGTATAAGGTTGAGAGTTTCCACAGCCACTCAGGGTCACCTGCAGCATGCGCGACAAACTGTATCCTAAGTACTGGAGGAGGCTTATAATAGAGTCAGGCAGAACTCAACCCAATCCTCGTGCCAGTTACCAACACAGGGTGATGCAGCTCGGGGGTATGTTGGGGGGCTCAAGCTTGGAACCTGGACTTTAGCGGCACATTCCCGAAACTTCACTGGTGATTTCCTGGGATAATATGTACACACATCTGTACGACCCGCCAGAGCTGCAGGTCGTTGACTCACTGTCAGAGCTGTGCAAGAAAAAGTTAAGTTGTCAGGTTGCTAGTCTGTGACAATCTGTGACAGTGGGGACCGGCAAAACCCAGTTTCTGCAATTCATATCCACCTTTTGTCGCAAGTTGGACATCACTCCCTACTACTAATTAAATATAGCTGTTCCGAACGTGCAAAACGAAGCCGAACCTCCCAGATTGATGGCAAAGCGAGACAGGCCAAAGGGATGGCGCTCCTGAAAGGCTTTGCCGTTTTCCAACACTTCCAGGAGACTGATGGAACTCAAGTGACGCGTTCGCAGGTTGGACACATCCACCCAGGCAACATCACCAAAGGCTTCGCCTCCGAAGATGGGTTGCGAAGCCTTTGACTCACCAGGGCTCGGGCTCATGGGAGTGAGGCTTGTCTGACAAATATGTCCAGGGCTCAGGGAGGGTGGATAAACCACTGCGGCGTATCCCGCATTGGCATCTGTCTTTCTTAAGTTCAATCGATCGGACTCTTCAGAAGTCTGAGGTTCATCTGAGTTGGACATAAAATCCTTCGCTGAGATGAAATACTCGGCATCGGCCCAGTCCCAGATTGCAAAGCTGCACTTGCCTAGCCAGTCCACAGCGGATACATCCGCGGTGCACGCCTCTTCCGCCCGCTGAGCTGCTTCTCTCTCTGACAGATCCATTTGAAGCAGCTTCACCCCATGATTCACTCCTCCCAAGGGTTAACAGCATGGAACGTGAGATTTGCTGTGCGTAAAAAGGCCGTATATAAGCGTGCATGCTTGACCCATTCAACATGAACAGAATGGACTACTAGTGAGGTCGACCAACCAGTTTTGATACACATATCAATCATGCATTGAAGATTGGCCAATGTTCTACCTCTGGCAGATCTATCTGCAACATTCACGAGAAGACGAACGTGTTCTAAAAATATTGCAAAATGGCCGCCTTCCACACGTGAGAAGATTATCACTTATTTTTGCAGAGTTCCACGTTAACCATGTGTTATGAATTGCTGGGAGTGCTGGGGGAAATTCTTAGTTACAGTCTTGATGTCATTTTAGCCTGGCACCTGGTTTTAGCCAAAGACACAGTTCGCAGTCAGGTTCCATAGCAAAGTTGCACCATGGACCGCGACACCAACGGTTTCTGCAGGAGCACGAGTTGCTTGGGCAAGGTCACCCGAACGCGCCGACGACTGATGGAAAAAAGACAGGAAGGGGCTAGCTGATGGGGCATCTCCTCTGATCCGGGTTTGATCCGGTTAAAAGCGTTCAAAGCGTGTCCGTTTGAGTCTACAATTTACACGCTGTCAAAACCCTGTCCAGCAACAACAAGGCATCATTCCAATCTATATAGATGGGGTCTGGTTTTGCACAACAGCGGAAAGGGTACCGTCAGTTTGTATTAACCTGGCACCTATACAGAACGATAGGTGGTCCTTGGCTCTTTTGATTTGCACAAACCATACCATACTTTGCTTTGGATAAAACATGATAAAACTCTAAGACTGAGTGTTTGCTTGAAGACTAACTTATGGGATTATGGTTATATAGGCTAATTATAGCACTTGTTCATCGTAATTACTAACTTCAATTATATCGGGAGCCTTTGATGGTTGCATTGAACATTCACAGTTCTTACATTTGCACAATTGCAGTCTTGCTTAACACGGACATGCCCCAGGGTTCCATCTCCTTTTTCAAGCTTCGCCAGTGCAACTGGGTGGACATAATACTGACATAAATTATCCACATCTATTCAGGTAATCTAAGTCAGCCTTCCGGAGCGAAACTGACCTTATAATTGATGTTCTTAAGCTCTTCCACCTCTTCTCCCAGTCCATCTTCACCCCTTCAAGGCCCTGCCAGGCCAAAAGTTTGGCCGTGCCTTCTGGATCGCAGCGCACGAAGCTGGCCGCGCACAGGAGTTGCTTCGCCACTTCCATGGCCTCAAGTCCTTGAAGCGCCTTCTGGCGCGAGTGCAGCTCCTGGCGGCCGTGGACGGAAGACGCAACAGCCACCGGTCCGACCACGTGGTCTGAGTGGTCGGACCGGTGGCTGTGCGACCGCGGCACTTCGCGTTAAGGCTTTGACATTATCTTAAAGGTTCCTATCCAAATTATCCAAATGCTATCATTTGTTCTGCTCTTCTGCAAATGCCATCACCCCTGTTTAAACTGCAACATGCATGGCTGCAGGTTCTTGGCACACTCCCCAAAACAGTCATCTATGTCATTTTTCATTGGACAAGACAAAGTCGAACATCTCGTCCATGAAGACACCAACAGTAGTTTCAGAGACTTCCTCCGCTTCTCTTTCCTCCCTCCGCTCTGTTCGTTCCTCTTTCGGGATCCAATCATAGATCGTCAAGAGCTCATAGATCCGCTGAGACAAGGCCTTGTCCACTTCTGCCCAGAGCCTCCAGGCCGAGCTTCGGACCTCTGCCACACAGGCGGAGTCCGCAGGCGGACAGGCATGAAATCCGCTGGCGCCATAGAGCACGAGCAGCGTGAGGAGCAATGGAAGCATGGGAGCATGGCGGACAGGCAAAGAACATTACAAACACCTCTTGAAACGTGAGGATGTGTCGCATTGCTAGTAGGTTGGAGGCCATTGCTAGTAGGTTGGAGGCCATCGCTAGTAGGTTTGAGGATGTTTCGCAGATTTCATTCTCTACTTGTCCTTGGAACTGCGGTTTCGGGCTCTTCTTGGATTGGCACATCGCAAAGCCGTTTAAAGCATCTATATCGCACTCAACTATTCATGTCACATGTCATATGCTTGCTTTGGGCCCAGACCTCTTGGCAGGATCAGTTCAATCATGTTTAATAGTGTTCGTTGTCTCCAACACGGCACTAACAGGATTAGTATAATATTAACATCCTACTTGATGGCACAAAAAACGTAGTAATATGATGTAATACGTAGTAATTCTTGCGCGGACCTCACGTATTGCACCTGCAGGCATATTCCGGCGCGGTTTCTTTTTGCGCACCGCCAGGGGTGAATCAATCTCGCCAAGAGAAATAAACATATATATGTGGGCGACTGCTCTCATGGATTCCAGATTTCTGAGCCACAAGGGGCTCAACTGACTCAGGTCAGGACTGAGTACGCTATTGAAACTATTGCTGCGTGATCTTGTGTTGACCTTCGATAGGCTTAGCATGGCTTAGCCGTCTTACGATGTTGAAGTACAACTCATAGTGTCTTGTTGACTTAGACTGTCTAAGACCGCTTTGCATCTGAGTAGAACCATGACGTGCTTGATAGGTTTCTCAAAGTTTTTGGCCTTCAAAAAGTCTGCATTTTGGCGCTCATCGGCTCTCCAGCTGGCTCAAGCGCCTGGCACCCCGCACCCCCGGAAACTCCGCTCAAATACTCTGAGCTTGAACGAAACAAACGGCACCTTTCAATTTGAGCTTGTCTTGCTGCAGTTTCCCTGACCTTCAAAGGCTCAAAAAGGCTGAAAAAAGCTCAAAGGCCCACTCAACGAATAGCTGACAGTAGGTTGGAGGCCATCGCTATTGGTTGGAGGCCATCGCTAGTAGG